CTTTCACGCCGCTACCCCAAGTGGTGGTTAAAACATCGAACGTCCAACAACTAGGGGAGAAGCTTTGAGCCCTGACCAACCTAGCTGCGACTTGAGCAAGGAGGTGTAGTATCACTAGACTATTAAACTATGACTAAAATCTGGACCTGTTTTTTTTACTGTGTGAATTATTGATTATTTCGATCGCGCAAGGTGATAGCAATTTTTTATTAACACTAGCAGCCACGTTACATAGTGAATATTGTTTTTGAAAGTGTAAAAACTGGATAAAGATCAGTTTTTGAGTTTAATATACCGCGAGGCGAATTCTATTTTATGTGGGTGATTTTATTTTATTATTTATTATTTATTTAAACACATAAATATTGGTACAAGGAAGCACCAAATACATATGCGCCTCACAAATCTCATTCGATTTGTGTGAGGGCTGTGATACTGCCCAGGTGCTCAGACTGAAGCAGGTGGTTTTCTTAGGGGGCCACACCCGGAGCCTTTGACCTAAAAGTCTAGTCCACAAGGCAGTGGAGCATCGTAAGGAGATGCAGTCCCATAGTAGCCGGTGACCAACAGTTGGTTCATACGCCATTCGTTCCTTCAGGATCCTGGAGCCCATGTGCACCATTGGTTTGGAAGCAGGGTTTTCCAACACCCCTAGGTGGATCCTTCACATCCACCAACCCGGTTTAAGCGCCGGACATTCGCTATTCGTCCTCTCATTTTTGTGAACAATACCCCCGCCACGAGAAGGCAGTGAGTAGGACTTCCCTGGCAGAGGCTATATATTCGCGTGGCCATATGAGAGCATTTCGAGAGGGAGAGGTGACTCTCCCCACTCTTGGTCGTACCAGGGCATTTGGGGGCTTTGGGTGAGGTTTTGTAGTTTTCGCTGTGTTGCTATTTCAACTTTAGTGAGGCTCTGTGATCCATCTATCTTGATTTAATCATTTTGTCGTTTGTATTGACTGCTAAAGTTTCTAACTTTGTTACTTATTATTAGGTAAGCCTTTCACATTAAGAATTATATATACTAGGAACTCCAGTTCATACAACAACTTCCTTCTCCTCTAATCATATTCTCTGGTTGGTAATTTTTACTGCCAATGAGAGTGCTACCTCTACAACTTTAGTATTCACTTTGATAATTCCATCTTTGTTGTTGTGGTGTGGCAACTTGAACCGATGCAGATATCTGCTAGGTTTTGAATCGCTTGTCACTAACTGACAAATTGAATTTTTTTTAGCATTAAATCCAGAAATACTGTCATGAACCTGTTCAAATGATAATTAAGCTCATGAAAAACTAATTTGACTAGCCTTTTGATCAAGAAGTAGATTGTGATCAATGAGTTAAGAGATTTAACTGTAACTTTGAATAGTTCGTGGTCGAAGTTAATTTCCCAAATTAAGTTTCTGCTTATAGCTCGCGGATATAGATACTACTATTGGATTAGTGAAAAGCAGAACTGAACCTGTCAAATTCACATATATTTCTTCGTTCACCCAAATCTATACAAAATTTATCGTTCTGTAATAATTCACTTTTGTATTATGGCTTTTGAGTTATTTAACTTTCGAAGTTTTTCTTATCTCTACTATATTCTTTTATTGTAGGTAGGAAAGAATTCGTAGTTTAAGCACTTACAATCCTTTAGAGTATTTTCAGCATAATGGTCTTCATCTGAAGTGTAGTGACTTTTGTGTAATATTGTTTTAATTTTTATCTGAAAATTCTAACTCTCCTTTAGTGGTTAATAGTGCTTATTCTTTAGTTCTATAGTTACTATTAATCAGACACATCGTTCTGTAATCATGGTTTTTTTATATTTCTAGAATCATCAGTCACAATATATTAATGAGTGCAAAATATCTGTTGAGTGTGAGGCTGTTGATTTTCTTACTCCTGAGTCAACAGATTCCGCATATCGCTTACCTGTACAAACTATCCCACATTTTTCAGTGAATTATATTCCTTCTGATTATAACTCTGAGGAACATAATTGTCGTTTAGCTGTTGTTATTGGATCTGAAGCTCACGGTGTTTCTCCAGAGGCTTTTCATTTAGTTCATCTTACCGGTGGTTCTCGACTTGTTATTCCATCTGCAGATAGAATAAGCAGCTTGAATGTTTTATCAGCTGCTTCAGTTTTGCTCGGAGAAATACAACGTCAATTTTTATGTTCTTAATGGGATGTACTTTTTTTTACGAATAAACAGATTTTTATCCATAATTTTTTTTCCGCTTTCGTGTCCGTATGTAAACTTTAAATGTTTGTTTTATTATCTGATGTGATAAGCCGATTGGGATTCTTTTTCCGTAGTCCATTGAGGTTAATCAGACTATCCATTCACCCAAATTACTATGTATAGACTTACATTTTGTCTTGTTATTGAATATAGTATTGTGAAAGTTTTAGTATACAGTAGATCGGTTTCTTTACAACCATGTCCACGTAACTGAATTTAATCGCATTACTGTAGGTTTCAGTACCGAAATTAGAACTAGAGAAACCACATAAGAACAAAAATAATTGTTACAACAAACATTTAGGTAACGATTATTAGCGGTCAGTAGAGATCATATGAATTTATTACACCACACGCTTGAAATGTAACACAAACCATAAACTGACTAATTTAACTGATTTGATCTTCTTAATATATGTATCTCAATAAAGAAGTAGAAGTCTATGTACTTGGCTCTATGCCACTGCTTTCTATGAGTTAGTAAACCTACCCAGTTGCTCAGATAGAAGTAATCGGAACTTTGTGTAAACCAGTAACCTAGTGGTCGAAAATCGACTGCCGTTACCCATCAAACCACTACTGCTAAACATAGTTGAATATTGCTTTTCTGTTTTGTAAAATGTCACCTGAATATCTCAGTAAATTAATAAAACATTACTAGTCGGCTAGTACCTAATGACACATGTTTGTTTGAAATATGAATTTCACTTAGTTCATTTTCAGGAAGATTTGCGTTTTTTTAGTCTTTATTTTCGCATGGTTTGAAGTTTGTGATATTTTGTGTTCACCTTCAACAACGTAAATATTTATAGTAATCAAGCCGTTAGGAACTCACCTTCCATATCCAATGCAAGGGAAATGAAACGATCTCAAAATTGTGAAGCCCACATACACTATAAAGTTTGAGATGAGTTTCTTTAATTCTTTTAGTAAATCTTTAAACATGTATCTCATCCTGACAATATGCACTCATTATGGTTGTTTCATTTTTGTAGAAAAAGTACATTTTTCACATAAGACTAGTTAGTATAATTTCCTCTACAGCTTATAGCTATTGTCATTAACTATATGATAACTACAGGTTTTGAAGTGCTATGTTGAATTTGTTGAGTTTGTCAGCATCTCGAAGAAAGGCCGTATTAAACTTTTGTGATGTTGTCCGCACAGTTGTCCAGTGCTTCTTGAGTTTTAGTTTCATCTTGGCGACCAGCAAATGATGATCGGATGCTATATCAGCTCCTCTTCTGGTTCTCACATCCTCCATCGTCCTCCTGAACTTTTTGTTGATGCAGATATGGTCGATTCGATTCTGTGTAGTGTGATCCGGTGAAATCCAAGTGGCTTTGTGTATGTTTTTGTGTGGGAATATGGTGCCACCTATGACCAGTTTATTGAAGGTACATAGGTTTGAAAATCTCTCACCATTTTCGTTCCTTCCTCCCAGTCCATGTTGTCCCATGACGTCTTCATATCCAGTGTTGTCCATTCCAACCTTAGCATTGAAATCTCCCATCAGAATTGTCAGGTCCTTGATTGGGCACTTCTCGACGATCGACTGCAATCTGTCGTAGAACTGGTCTTTAGCGTCTTCATCGTAGTCGTTGGTCGGCGCATAGCATTGGATGACGTTCATTGTAATGCCCTCTCTCTTTGTTCTGAAGGAGGCTTTGATGATCCTTGGTCCATGAGATTCCCATCCTATAAGTGCATTTTGTGCTTTTCTGGACAGCATCAATGCAATTCCTTGTGTATGTGGGGCATTTTCTTCTTCATGACTGGAGTATAACAGAAGTTCTCCTGAAGACAGTCGTTGTTGTCCAACCTGCGTCCAATGTGTTTCGCTGATTCCAAGAACCTCCAGGTTGTATTTTCTCATTTCTGCAGCAATTTGGAAAACTCTTCCGGTCTCCCACATTGTTCGGACATTCCATGTACCTATAAAAACTGTCGCTCTGGTTGTAAGAAGGTGCATCGGCCTCATGACTTCCGAATGAACTCGGCTTTCATCATGAGACGTCATAATTATTCCTTCCACTCCCAGGGCAGAGTTTGAAAGCTTTGAATGATTTTTTCTCGTTAGCGTTTTTTTAGCGAGTTGATTTTCTACGGGATGGGGTCGCTAACCCCATACCCAACCCTCCTCCTTTACCCGGGCTTGGGACCGGCAGTAACTCCCAGAGGAGCTACAGGCGGAGTTTTCTGGTTTATAATCACACCTTTATCTTTCATATTGCAAATTTAATACAGAACTACTAGGAATATATCTATACCTTAGAAGACTAACATAATTTTTAGCTGATATGGGTCCTATACCTTCCCACTTAATTTTCTAAAGAATAGTTTGTTAAGTTTTCCTGATCGTTTTCCAGATCGTTTATTGCTAAAGTGTAGAATTTATATTGCAGTGTGCATAAGACTTCCACATTATTTTATGTTTCCACGTATGGTTTTACCATCAAATAGTGACTGGAAAATACAAGTTGACGTGTTTGGTTGACCTATTATAATGATTGTGTAAGTTCGACGATTGCCTACAAGGTATAGAGCACTTAGCTTATTGATTATTCTAAAGAAGATCCTATTGATATACTTTATTGGTCAATAAACTTCTGTACTAAATACAAGTGTTGATTTAGAACACAAAGATTCGGACCTGTTATATCACTGATGGGGCATTTCGCTCTTTTAATCAGTGATATCAATAAAGGACAAACATTTACGTTATGAACATCAAAAGTGTCGATTACTTCAAATGTATGACATATTGTTTAGAAGGTTCTATCGAAGGTAATATAAAAGTACTTACAGTCTTAGAATGTTTGAGTCCTTCACGTAACTCCCAGGTTATTGATAAGTTGATCTTAATTCGTTCTCGAGCTTGTAAGCTGCCCCAAGTTTATTATGCTCAAGTTTCCAGAACTAGCCCTTATAAAAATATCTATTTATTGGTATTGAATTAACCCTCTGATTTATTTACGATTCAGAAATAGCTTGGTACGAGAGGACATCAAGAAGTACGCCACAAAAAATGGCATGTGTTGTAGAAGTAAAAAAGGAAAGTCATGCAATCAAAATGATTAAAAGTAGTACGAGATAAGATTTTAATGCACATATAACTGTGATAATTCCTATCTAGTTAAAAGGTAAATCTTTCTGTTGAAGAATGGAATAGTATTCTGCTGCAAGTTTACCATCAGCTTCTACTTCGAGCTGTGTTTAATAACATCTCAAACCGCTTAGAAGCTGGAACTATAAAACTCTTTCAAGGGTTTTTTGACGAACTGGTATGTGCTAAGCCAGAAAAACCGTCCTCCTGCTGTTATAACGCTCGGTTTTAACGTCTACACGAATGGGACGTTAATTTGCCTTGGACGAACATCTACACTAGATTCCCTCTACAGAACTTCCACACAACTCAGCTCAAGAACACGTGATTAGTCTGACTAGGATGTAAATATATTTCCACAGCAAAAACCGACAACAATCTGTCAACAAACACGATAATAATAAGGGTAAGAGAATATATAACTCATCTAGTACTTGTCAGACTATCTACTAGTTTGACTAAGCAAACAACCAATCATTATCATTCTCGCTCACACATCAATTACTTAGTTCAATGTCACAGTTTAACCATTTCTCTCAGTCGCTCCCAGTGTTGAAAACAACGCGTGATATAATCGCCACTCAGATAACGCACATGAAGCATCTCCAAATCACCAAGGATACTATTTTAAGGCGTTATAATTGGTCAAATGTTGTTAGACCCGAACACTCCTTGTTAGACTTCAAAAATCTTCCGCAAATAACAATTGTCTTGAATCGTCGTTGAACACCCTGGAGAGTATAGGTTTCGCAAAAGTAGGATAAATAGTGACCTAGTTTGTCATAGTTTCTTCTAACGTTTTCCAAAATAAATTTAATCTCGCTATCAGCACAGACTGTTATGGATGAAGGTTTAATGGTGTGAATAAATAAACAAAATTCCAGATACGGAAATTTCTACCACTTTAGACGGTTCTTTGCCACGAGTCAGTGTAAATATAGTTTTCTGTCAGTTTTGATTGATTATATCTCCTTTTTTAATTTCTCAGTAAGTCGTTTGTTTGTCTTTTGGGGGTTTTTAAACTTAAATTTGTCTACAAGTTATGGTGCATACTACTTATCTCTTCTTGTTTCAGCCCTCTTTGAATTACCACAACAAGACTGTTTCAAGAGAAAAAATGCGAAGTTTCGCTTACCTGTTACTCTTATACTTGATCGAATTAACGATCCTGGAAATATGGGCAGTTTGATCCGTTCGGGTGCAAGTTTGGGTTTGAATTCTATCTTGGTGACGAAAGGTATCCATCGTATTTCTTAGATTTTTGTTTGTATTTTACAACACTCGGTATTCTTTTCGACTTGATTTGTACTTTTGATCTAGTGATAAGCAGTTTATTAGTTTTCAACTCTGAAAAAATTATATTTGCTTGCATTGTTTCATCTTTTGATCTGAGGTTAGTTATAATACTTCGTATAGTGTTCGGTATCTTTGATTTTTCCTGAATGCTAATTCGAAGTAAACCTTCATTCGCTCCATGCAAGCATTTATCCGTTGGTCCAACACATCACTCTTGTAAAGGTTTTAAATTAGATTTAAAGAGTTCTGTCAACAAAATAATTGCACAACTTAAGGTTGCTCAATCATATTAACAAATTTCCTTTAAAGGATAATGTAACGATTGTCGTCGAAGTTTATTTTTCAAGACCATTATAGTGTGAAACTATGACCCAATCAATGTTTAAGCATTTTCTGAACGATCCCTCAGCATTGTTGCTATTTCTACAGGCGCTTCGCTTTGCCTTCTGAAATAATACGCCGTTAGCGTTTATTTAACTCCGCCTGTAGCTCTTTTAGAGTTACTGCCTGTCCCAAGACCGGGTGAAGGAGGTGGGTGGGGCATGGGGTTAGTGACCCCATCCCATAGAAAACTGACTCGCTAAAAAAGGCTAACCAGAATAAATAATCCAAACCATTCAAACTCTTCCCTGGGAGTTGAGGAAGAAATATGACGCCTCATGATAAAGCCGAGTTCCTTCGGAAGTCACGAGGCCGATGCCCCTTCTAACAACCAGAGCAACACTCTTTATAGGTACATGGAACGTCCGGACAATGTGGGAGACCGGGAAGACCAGTCAAATAGCAATGGAAATGAGGAGATACAAATTGGAAGTACTTGGAATCAGCTAAACTCATTGGACCAAAGCTGGACAGCAAAGGCTAGGTACGGGAGAGAAGCTGCTGTACTCCGGTCACGAAGCGAAAAATGCTCCACATACTTAGGTAGATGCTTTAATGCTGTCCAGAGAAGCACGAAATGCATTTGTAGGATGGGAATCTCACGGATTCAGGATAATCAAATCACTCCACCAACGATCGAAGAAGTCAAGATGGCCATCAGACAAATCAGGCGCGGAAAGCGGCAGGACCTGACAATACATCAACTATACATCAACGTCGTTGACTATGAGAAGGCGTTTGACAGTGTGGACCGGAGAACGTTGTGGAAACTTCTTCGACACTATAAAGTTCCTGAGAAGATTGTCAACATTATCCGGAACTCGTACGATGGACTACAGTGCAAAGTCGTGCATGGAAGACAGCTGACAGATGCATTTCCTGTAAGGATCGGAGTCAGGCAAGGCTGTCTACTCTCCCCCTTCCTCTTTCTTCCGGTGATTGACTGGATTATGAAAACCTGGACATCTGACAGGAAGCACGGAATACAATGAACATCTCGGAATCAGTTAGAAGATTTGAACTTCGTAGATGACCTGACCCTTCTATCCCATACACACGAACAAATGCAGATGAAGACAACAAATGTAGCATCAGCCTCAACTTACACAAAGAAAGAAGCATTATTCTCAAATACAACTCGGAAAACACCAACCCAATCAAATTTGATGGAGAAACTCTGTAAGATGTAGAAACATTCACTGGCCGGATACTATCAGCAACAGCGTTTTATGGGAGAGGACAAACCAGCTTTCAGCTGAATAGAAAATTAGGAAAGACGTTGGAAGTGCATCGGACATACATTAAGGAAATCACCAGACTGCATCACGAGGCAAGCCCTAACTTGGAGTCCGGAAGGGAAGCGGAAAAGAAGAAGGCCAAAGAACACATTACGCCGGCAGATTGAAGCACATATGAAACGGATAAATAACAACTGGAAATAACTGGAAAGGATTGCCCAGGACAGGGTTGGATGGAGAATACTAGTGTGCGACCTATGCTCCTCCACGATGGGTTACACGCGTAAGTAAGTAAGTGGGCTTAATTTGAATAACGGTTATCAGGGCGATTGATATACAAAGCCATTACAAGCTTAAGTATATCATTATCCATATGTGTTCAACAGTTTGATAATGTTTAGTCTTTTCGTTTCAGGCAGTGTCAATATTTGGAATGAAAAAGTGATACGAGCAGGAATGTCCGGTCATTTCCGCATACCTGTATATCAAGGACTGAGCTGGACCGATATTAGTCGATATTTTGGGATATGTGATAGTTCATCTTCTGATGTTATAGTCTTTGTAGCTGACCCTGAACCACTCTTGACTGATAAATTAATCGAATCAGCATGGAAAAAAGACCAAACTGTGAGTTGACCTATATTAAATACTAGCTATTCTTTGTTCACATTTCCGAATCTTGTAAGCTGAGCTGCGTACTGGTGGGAATATATATATATATATACCCACCGGTATATATGTATATATAATCATATTAGTCCTAGTTGGTAAATCGTTAAGTCAAAATCTTTCACGCCGCTACCCCAAGTGGTGGTTAAAACATCGAACGTCCAACAACTAGGGGAGAAGCTTTGAGCCCTGACCAACCTAGCTGCGACTTGAGCAAGGAGGTGTAGTATCACTAGACTATTAAACTATGACTAAAATCTGGACCTGTTTTTTTTACTGTGTGAATTATTGATTATTTCGATCGCGCAAGGTGATAGCAATTTTTTATTAACACTAGCAGCCACGTTACATAGTGAATATTGTTTTTGAAAGTGTAAAAACTGGATAAAGATCAGTTTTTGAGTTTAATATACCGCGAGGCGAATTCTATTTTATGTGGGTGATTTTATTTTATTATTTATTATTTATTTAAACACATAAATATTGGTACAAGGAAGCACCAAATACATATGCGCCTCACAAATCTCATTCGATTTGTGTGAGGGCTGTGATACTGCCCAGGTGCTCAGACTGAAGCAGGTGGTTTTCTTAGGGGGCCACACCCGGAGCCTTTGACCTAAAAGTCTAGTCCACAAGGCAGTGGAGCATCGTAAGGAGATGCAGTCCCATAGTAGCCGGTGACCAACAGTTGGTTCATACGCCATTCGTTCCTTCAGGATCCTGGAGCCCATGTGCACCATTGGTTTGGAAGCAGGGTTTTCCAACACCCCTAGGTGGATCCTTCACATCCACCAACCCGGTTTAAGCGCCGGACATTCGCTATTCGTCCTCTCATTTTTGTGAACAATACCCCCGCCACGAGAAGGCAGTGAGTAGGACTTCCCTGGCAGAGGCTATATATTCGCGTGGCCATATGAGAGCATTTCGAGAGGGAGAGGTGACTCTCCCCACTCTTGGTCGTACCAGGGCATTTGGGGGCTTTGGGTGAGGTTTTGTAGTTTTCGCTGTGTTGCTATTTCAACTTTAGTGAGGCTCTGTGATCCATCTATCTTGATTTAATCATTTTGTCGTTTGTATTGACTGCTAAAGTTTCTAACTTTGTTACTTATTATTAGGTAAGCCTTTCACATTAAGAATTATATATACTAGGAACTCCAGTTCATACAACAACTTCCTTCTCCTCTAATCATATTCTCTGGTTGGTAATTTTTACTGCCAATGAGAGTGCTACCTCTACAACTTTAGTATTCACTTTGATAATTCCATCTTTGTTGTTGTGGTGTGGCAACTTGAACCGATGCAGATATCTGCTAGGTTTTGAATCGCTTGTCACTAACTGACAAATTGAATTTTTTTTAGCATTAAATCCAGAAATACTGTCATGAACCTGTTCAAATGATAATTAAGCTCATGAAAAACTAATTTGACTAGCCTTTTGATCAAGAAGTAGATTGTGATCAATGAGTTAAGAGATTTAACTGTAACTTTGAATAGTTCGTGGTCGAAGTTAATTTCCCAAATTAAGTTTCTGCTTATAGCTCGCGGATATAGATACTACTATTGGATTAGTGAAAAGCAGAACTGAACCTGTCAAATTCACATATATTTCTTCGTTCACCCAAATCTATACAAAATTTATCGTTCTGTAATAATTCACTTTTGTATTATGGCTTTTGAGTTATTTAACTTTCGAAGTTTTTCTTATCTCTACTATATTCTTTTATTGTAGGTAGGAAAGAATTCGTAGTTTAAGCACTTACAATCCTTTAGAGTATTTTCAGCATAATGGTCTTCATCTGAAGTGTAGTGACTTTTGTGTAATATTGTTTTAATTTTTATCTGAAAATTCTAACTCTCCTTTAGTGGTTAATAGTGCTTATTCTTTAGTTCTATAGTTACTATTAATCAGACACATCGTTCTGTAATCATGGTTTTTTTATATTTCTAGAATCATCAGTCACAATATATTAATGAGTGCAAAATATCTGTTGAGTGTGAGGCTGTTGATTTTCTTACTCCTGAGTCAACAGATTCCGCATATCGCTTACCTGTACAAACTATCCCACATTTTTCAGTGAATTATATTCCTTCTGATTATAACTCTGAGGAACATAATTGTCGTTTAGCTGTTGTTATTGGATCTGAAGCTCACGGTGTTTCTCCAGAGGCTTTTCATTTAGTTCATCTTACCGGTGGTTCTCGACTTGTTATTCCATCTGCAGATAGAATAAGCAGCTTGAATGTTTTATCAGCTGCTTCAGTTTTGCTCGGAGAAATACAACGTCAATTTTTATGTTCTTAATGGGATGTACTTTTTTTTACGAATAAACAGATTTTTATCCATAATTTTTTTTCCGCTTTCGTGTCCGTATGTAAACTTTAAATGTTTGTTTTATTATCTGATGTGATAAGCCGATTGGGATTCTTTTTCCGTAGTCCATTGAGGTTAATCAGACTATCCATTCACCCAAATTACTATGTATAGACTTACATTTTGTCTTGTTATTGAATATAGTATTGTGAAAGTTTTAGTATACAGTAGATCGGTTTCTTTACAACCATGTCCACGTAACTGAATTTAATCGCATTACTGTAGGTTTCAGTACCGAAATTAGAACTAGAGAAACCACATAAGAACAAAAATAATTGTTACAACAAACATTTAGGTAACGATTATTAGCGGTCAGTAGAGATCATATGAATTTATTACACCACACGCTTGAAATGTAACACAAACCATAAACTGACTAATTTAACTGATTTGATCTTCTTAATATATGTATCTCAATAAAGAAGTAGAAGTCTATGTACTTGGCTCTATGCCACTGCTTTCTATGAGTTAGTAAACCTACCCAGTTGCTCAGATAGAAGTAATCGGAACTTTGTGTAAACCAGTAACCTAGTGGTCGAAAATCGACTGCCGTTACCCATCAAACCACTACTGCTAAACATAGTTGAATATTGCTTTTCTGTTTTGTAAAATGTCACCTGAATATCTCAGTAAATTAATAAAACATTACTAGTCGGCTAGTACCTAATGACACATGTTTGTTTGAAATATGAATTTCACTTAGTTCATTTTCAGGAAGATTTGCGTTTTTTTAGTCTTTATTTTCGCATGGTTTGAAGTTTGTGATATTTTGTGTTCACCTTCAACAACGTAAATATTTATAGTAATCAAGCCGTTAGGAACTCACCTTCCATATCCAATGCAAGGGAAATGAAACGATCTCAAAATTGTGAAGCCCACATACACTATAAAGTTTGAGATGAGTTTCTTTAATTCTTTTAGTAAATCTTTAAACATGTATCTCATCCTGACAATATGCACTCATTATGGTTGTTTCATTTTTGTAGAAAAAGTACATTTTTCACATAAGACTAGTTAGTATAATTTCCTCTACAGCTTATAGCTATTGTCATTAACTATATGATAACTACAGGTTTTGAAGTGCTATGTTGAATTTGTTGAGTTTGTCAGCATCTCGAAGAAAGGCCGTATTAAACTTTTGTGATGTTGTCCGCACAGTTGTCCAGTGCTTCTTGAGTTTTAGTTTCATCTTGGCGACCAGCAAATGATGATCGGATGCTATATCAGCTCCTCTTCTGGTTCTCACATCCTCCATCGTCCTCCTGAACTTTTTGTTGATGCAGATATGGTCGATTCGATTCTGTGTAGTGTGATCCGGTGAAATCCAAGTGGCTTTGTGTATGTTTTTGTGTGGGAATATGGTGCCACCTATGACCAGTTTATTGAAGGTACATAGGTTTGAAAATCTCTCACCATTTTCGTTCCTTCCTCCCAGTCCATGTTGTCCCATGACGTCTTCATATCCAGTGTTGTCCATTCCAACCTTAGCATTGAAATCTCCCATCAGAATTGTCAGGTCCTTGATTGGGCACTTCTCGACGATCGACTGCAATCTGTCGTAGAACTGGTCTTTAGCGTCTTCATCGTAGTCGTTGGTCGGCGCATAGCATTGGATGACGTTCATTGTAATGCCCTCTCTCTTTGTTCTGAAGGAGGCTTTGATGATCCTTGGTCCATGAGATTCCCATCCTATAAGTGCATTTTGTGCTTTTCTGGACAGCATCAATGCAATTCCTTGTGTATGTGGGGCATTTTCTTCTTCATGACTGGAGTATAACAGAAGTTCTCCTGAAGACAGTCGTTGTTGTCCAACCTGCGTCCAATGTGTTTCGCTGATTCCAAGAACCTCCAGGTTGTATTTTCTCATTTCTGCAGCAATTTGGAAAACTCTTCCGGTCTCCCACATTGTTCGGACATTCCATGTACCTATAAAAACTGTCGCTCTGGTTGTAAGAAGGTGCATCGGCCTCATGACTTCCGAATGAACTCGGCTTTCATCATGAGACGTCATAATTATTCCTTCCACTCCCAGGGCAGAGTTTGAAAGCTTTGAATGATTTTTTCTCGTTAGCGTTTTTTTAGCGAGTTGATTTTCTACGGGATGGGGTCGCTAACCCCATACCCAACCCTCCTCCTTTACCCGGGCTTGGGACCGGCAGTAACTCCCAGAGGAGCTACAGGCGGAGTTTTCTGGTTTATAATCACACCTTTATCTTTCATATTGCAAATTTAATACAGAACTACTAGGAATATATCTATACCTTAGAAGACTAACATAATTTTTAGCTGATATGGGTCCTATACCTTCCCACTTAATTTTCTAAAGAATAGTTTGTTAAGTTTTCCTGATCGTTTTCCAGATCGTTTATTGCTAAAGTGTAGAATTTATATTGCAGTGTGCATAAGACTTCCACATTATTTTATGTTTCCACGTATGGTTTTACCATCAAATAGTGACTGGAAAATACAAGTTGACGTGTTTGGTTGACCTATTATAATGATTGTGTAAGTTCGACGATTGCCTACAAGGTATAGAGCACTTAGCTTATTGATTATTCTAAAGAAGATCCTATTGATATACTTTATTGGTCAATAAACTTCTGTACTAAATACAAGTGTTGATTTAGAACACAAAGATTCGGACCTGTTATATCACTGATGGGGCATTTCGCTCTTTTAATCAGTGATATCAATAAAGGACAAACATTTACGTTATGAACATCAAAAGTGTCGATTACTTCAAATGTATGACATATTGTTTAGAAGGTTCTATCGAAGGTAATATAAAAGTACTTACAGTCTTAGAATGTTTGAGTCCTTCACGTAACTCCCAGGTTATTGATAAGTTGATCTTAATTCGTTCTCGAGCTTGTAAGCTGCCCCAAGTTTATTATGCTCAAGTTTCCAGAACTAGCCCTTATAAAAATATCTATTTATTGGTATTGAATTAACCCTCTGATTTATTTACGATTCAGAAATAGCTTGGTACGAGAGGACATCAAGAAGTACGCCACAAAAAATGGCATGTGTTGTAGAAGTAAAAAAGGAAAGTCATGCAATCAAAATGATTAAAAGTAGTACGAGATAAGATTTTAATGCACATATAACTGTGATAATTCCTATCTAGTTAAAAGGTAAATCTTTCTGTTGAAGAATGGAATAGTATTCTGCTGCAAGTTTACCATCAGCTTCTACTTCGAGCTGTGTTTAATAACATCTCAAACCGCTTAGAAGCTGGAACTATAAAACTCTTTCAAGGGTTTTTTGACGAACTGGTATGTGCTAAGCCAGAAAAACCGTCCTCCTGCTGTTATAACGCTCGGTTTTAACGTCTACACGAATGGGACGTTAATTTGCCTTGGACGAACATCTACACTAGATTCCCTCTACAGAACTTCCACACAACTCAGCTCAAGAACACGTGATTAGTCTGACTAGGATGTAAATATATTTCCACAGCAAAAACCGACAACAATCTGTCAACAAACACGATAATAATAAGGGTAAGAGAATATATAACTCATCTAGTACTTGTCAGACTATCTACTAGTTTGACTAAGCAAACAACCAATCATTATCATTCTCGCTCACACATCAATTACTTAGTTCAATGTCACAGTTTAACCATTTCTCTCAGTCGCTCCCAGTGTTGAAAACAACGCGTGATATAATCGCCACTCAGATAACGCACATGAAGCATCTCCAAATCACCAAGGATACTATTTTAAGGCGTTATAATTGGTCAAATGTTGTTAGACCCGAACACTCCTTGTTAGACTTCAAAAATCTTCCGCAAATAACAATTGTCTTGAATCGTCGTTGAACACCCTGGAGAGTATAGGTTTCGCAAAAGTAGGATAAATAGTGACCTAGTTTGTCATAGTTTCTTCTAACGTTTTCCAAAATAAATTTAATCTCGCTATCAGCACAGACTGTTATGGATGAAGGTTTAATGGTGTGAATAAATAAACAAAATTCCAGATACGGAAATTTCTACCACTTTAGACGGTTCTTTGCCACGAGTCAGTGTAAATATAGTTTTCTGTCAGTTTTGATTGATTATATCTCCTTTTTTAATTTCTCAGTAAGTCGTTTGTTTGTCTTTTGGGGGTTTTTAAACTTAAATTTGTCTACAAGTTATGGTGCATACTACTTATCTCTTCTTGTTTCAGCCCTCTTTGAATTACCACAACAAGACTGTTTCAAGAGAAAAAATGCGAAGTTTCGCTTACCTGTTACTCTTATACTTGATCGAATTAACGATCCTGGAAATATGGGCAGTTTGATCCGTTCGGGTGCAAGTTTGGGTTTGAATTCTATCTTGGTGACGAAAGGTATCCATCGTATTTCTTAGATTTTTGTTTGTATTTTACAACACTCGGTATTCTTTTCGACTTGATTTGTACTTTTGATCTAGTGATAAGCAGTTTATTAGTTTTCAACTCTGAAAAAATTATATTTGCTTGCATTGTTTCATCTTTTGATCTGAGGTTAGTTATAATACTTCGTATAGTGTTCGGTATCTTTGATTTTTCCTGAATGCTAATTCGAAGTAAACCTTCATTCGCTCCATGCAAGCATTTATCCGTTGGTCCAACACATCACTCTTGTAAAGGTTTTAAATTAGATTTAAAGAGTTCTGTCAACAAAATAATTGCACAACTTAAGGTTGCTCAATCATATTAACAAATTTCCTTTAAAGGATAATGTAACGATTGTCGTCGAAGTTTATTTTTCAAGACCATTATAGTGTGAAACTATGACCCAATCAATGTTTAAGCATTTTCTGAACGATCCCTCAGCATTGTTGCTATTTCTACAGGCGCTTCGCTTTGCCTTCTGAAATAATACGCCGTTAGCGTTTATTTAACTCCGCCTGTAGCTCTTTTAGAGTTACTGCCTGTCCCAAGACCGGGTGAAGGAGGTGGGTGGGGCATGGGGTTAGTGACCCCATCCCATAGAAAACTGACTCGCTAAAAAAGGCTAACCAGAATAAATAATCCAAACCATTCAAACTCTTCCCTGGGAGTTGAGGAAGAAATATGACGCCTCATGATAAAGCCGAGTTCCTTCGGAAGTCACGAGGCCGATGCCCCTTCTAACAACCAGAGCAACACTCTTTATAGGTACATGGAACGTCCGGACAATGTGGGAGACCGGGAAGACCAGTCAAATAGCAATGGAAATGAGGAGATACAAATTGGAAGTACTTGGAATCAGCTAAACTCATTGGACCAAAGCTGGACAGCAAAGGCTAGGTACGGGAGAGAAGCTGCTGTACTCCGGTCACGAAGCGAAAAATGCTCCACATACTTAGGTAGATGCTTTAATGCTGTCCAGAGAAGCACGAAATGCATTTGTAGGATGGGAATCTCACGGATTCAGGATAATCAAATCACTCCACCAACGATCGAAGAAGTCAAGATGGCCATCAGACAAATCAGGCGCGGAAAGCGGCAGGACCTGACAATACATCAACTATACATCAACGTCGTTGACTATGAGAAGGCGTTTGACAGTGTGGACCGGAGAACGTTGTGGAAACTTCTTCGACACTATAAAGTTCCTGAGAAGATTGTCAACATTATCCGGAACTCGTACGATGGACTACAGTGCAAAGTCGTGCATGGAAGACAGCTGACAGATGCATTTCCTGTAAGGATCGGAGTCAGGCAAGGCTGTCTACTCTCCCCCTTCCTCTTTCTTCCGGTGATTGACTGGATTATGAAAACCTGGACATCTGACAGGAAGCACGGAATACAATGAACATCTCGGAATCAGTTAGAAGATTTGAACTTCGTAGATGACCTGACCCTTCTATCCCATACACACGAACAAATGCAGATGAAGACAACAAATGTAGCATCAGCCTCAACTTACACAAAGAAAGAAGCATTATTCTCAAATACAACTCGGAAAACACCAACCCAATCAAATTTGATGGAGAAACTCTGTAAGATGTAGAAACATTCACTGGCCGGATACTATCAGCAACAGCGTTTTATGGGAGAGGACAAACCAGCTTTCAGCTGAATAGAAAATTAGGAAAGACGTTGGAAGTGCATCGGACATACATTAAGGAAATCACCAGACTGCATCACGAGGCAAGCCCTAACTTGGAGTCCGGAAGGGAAGCGGAAAAGAAGAAGGCCAAAGAACACATTACGCCGGCAGATTGAAGCACATATGAAACGGATAAATAACAACTGGAAATAACTGGAAAGGATTGCCCAGGACAGGGTTGGATGGAGAATACTAGTGTGCGACCTATGCTCCTCCACGATGGGTTACACGCGTAAGTAAGTAAGTGGGCTTAATTTGAATAACGGTTATCAGGGCGATTGATATACAAAGCCATTACAAGCTTAAGTATATCATTATCCATATGTGTTCAACAGTTTGATAATGTTTAGTCTTTTCGTTTCAGGCAGTGTCAATATTTGGAATGAAAAAGTGATACGAGCAGGAATGTCCGGTCATTTCCGCATACCTGTATATCAAGGACTGAGCTGGACCGATATTAGTCGATATTTTGGGATATGTGATAGTTCATCTTCTGATGTTATAGTCTTTGTAGCTGACCCTGAACCACTCTTGACTGATAAATTAATCGAATCAGCATGGAAAAAAGACCAAACTGTGAGTTGACCTATATTAAATACTAGCTATTCTTTGTTCACATTTCCGAATCTTGTAAGCTGAGCTGCGTACTGGTGGGAATATATATATATATATACCCACCGGTATATATGTATATATAATCATATTAGTCCTAGTTGGTAAATCGTTAAGTCAAAATCTTTCACGCCGCTACCCCAAGTGGTGGTTAAAACATCGAACGTCCAACAACTAGGGGAGAAGCTTTGAGCCCTGACCAACCTAGCTGCGACTTGAGCAAGGAGGTGTAGTATCACTAGACTATTAAACTATGACTAAAATCTGGACCTGTTTTTTTTACTGTGTGAATTATTGATTATTTCGATCGCGCAAGGTGATAGCAATTTTTTATTAACACTAGCAGCCACGTTACATAGTGAATATTGTTTTTGAAAGTGTAAAAACTGGATAAAGATCAGTTTTTGAGTTTAATATACCGCGAGGCGAATTCTATTTTATGTGGGTGATTTTATTTTATTATTTATTATTTATTTAAACACATAAATATTGGTACAAGGAAGCACCAAATACATATGCGCCTCACAAATCTCATTCGATTTGTGTGAGGGCTGTGATACTGCCCAGGTGCTCAGACTGAAGCAGGTGGTTTTCTTAGGGGGCCACACCCGGAGCCTTTGACCTAAAAGTCTAGTCCACAAGGCAGTGGAGCATCGTAAGGAGATGCAGTCCCATAGTAGCCGGTGACCAACAGTTGGTTCATACGCCATTCGTTCCTTCAGGATCCTGGAGCCCATGTGCACCATTGGTTTGGAAGCAGGGTTTTCCAACACCCCTAGGTGGATCCTTCACATCCACCAACCCGGTTTAAGCGCCGGACATTCGCTATTCGTCCTCTCATTTTTGTGAACAATACCCCCGCCACGAGAAGGCAGTGAGTAGGACTTCCCTGGCAGAGGCTATATATTCGCGTGGCCATATGAGAGCATTTCGAGAGGGAGAGGTGACTCTCCCCACTCTTGGTCGTACCAGGGCATTTGGGGGCTTTGGGTGAGGTTTTGTAGTTTTCGCTGTGTTGCTATTTCAACTTTAGTGAGGCTCTGTGATCCATCTATCTTGATTTAATCATTTTGTCGTTTGTATTGACTGCTAAAGTTTCTAACTTTGTTACTTATTATTAGGTAAGCCTTTCACATTAAGAATTATATATACTAGGAACTCCAGTTCATACAACAACTTCCTTCTCCTCTAATCATATTCTCTGGTTGGTAATTTTTACTGCCAATGAGAGTGCTACCTCTACAACTTTAGTATTCACTTTGATAATTCCATCTTTGTTGTTGTGGTGTGGCAACTTGAACCGATGCAGATATCTGCTAGGTTTTGAATCGCTTGTCACTAACTGACAAATTGAATTTTTTTTAGCATTAAATCCAGAAATACTGTCATGAACCTGTTCAAATGATAATTAAGCTCATGAAAAACTAATTTGACTAGCCTTTTGATCAAGAAGTAGATTGTGATCAATGAGTTAAGAGATTTAACTGTAACTTTGAATAGTTCGTGGTCGAAGTTAATTTCCCAAATTAAGTTTCTGCTTATAGCTCGCGGATATAGATACTACTATTGGATTAGTGAAAAGCAGAACTGAACCTGTCAAATTCACATATATTTCTTCGTTCACCCAAATCTATACAAAATTTATCGTTCTGTAATAATTCACTTTTGTATTATGGCTTTTGAGTTATTTAACTTTCGAAGTTTTTCTTATCTCTACTATATTCTTTTATTGTAGGTAGGAAAGAATTCGTAGTTTAAGCACTTACAATCCTTTAGAGTATTTTCAGCATAATGGTCTTCATCTGAAGTGTAGTGACTTTTGTGTAATATTGTTTTAATTTTTATCTGAAAATTCTAACTCTCCTTTAGTGGTTAATAGTGCTTATTCTTTAGTTCTATAGTTACTATTAATCAGACACATCGTTCTGTAATCATGGTTTTTTTATATTTCTAGAATCATCAGTCACAATATATTAATGAGTGCAAAATATCTGTTGAGTGTGAGGCTGTTGATTTTCTTACTCCTGAGTCAACAGATTCCGCATATCGCTTACCTGTACAAACTATCCCACATTTTTCAGTGAATTATATTCCTTCTGATTATAACTCTGAGGAACATAATTGTCGTTTAGCTGTTGTTATTGGATCTGAAGCTCACGGTGTTTCTCCAGAGGCTTTTCATTTAGTTCATCTTACCGGTGGTTCTCGACTTGTTATTCCATCTGCAGATAGAATAAGCAGCTTGAATGTTTTATCAGCTGCTTCAGTTTTGCTCGGAGAAATACAACGTCAATTTTTATGTTCTTAATGGGATGTACTTTTTTTTACGAATAAACAGATTTTTATCCATAATTTTTTTTCCGCTTTCGTGTCCGTATGTAAACTTTAAATGTTTGTTTTATTATCTGATGTGATAAGCCGATTGGGATTCTTTTTCCGTAGTCCATTGAGGTTAATCAGACTATCCATTCACCCAAATTACTATGTATAGACTTACATTTTGTCTTGTTATTGAATATAGTATTGTGAAAGTTTTAGTATACAGTAGATCGGTTTCTTTACAACCATGTCCACGTAACTGAATTTAATCGCATTACTGTAGGTTTCAGTACCGAAATTAGAACTAGAGAAACCACATAAGAACAAAAATAATTGTTACAACAAACATTTAGGTAACGATTATTAGCGGTCAGTAGAGATCATATGAATTTATTACACCACACGCTTGAAATGTAACACAAACCATAAACTGACTAATTTAACTGATTTGATCTTCTGAATATATGTATCTCAATAAAGAAGTAGAAGTCTATGTACTTGGCTCTATGCCACTGCTTTCTATGAGTTAGTAAACCTACCCAGTTGCTCAGATAGAAGTAATCGGAACTTTGTGTAAACCAGTAACCTAGTGGTCGAAAATCGACTGCCGTTACCCATCAAACCACTACTGCTAAACATAGTTGAATATTGCTTTTCTGTTTTGTAAAATGTCACCTGAATATCTCAGTAAATTAATAAAACATTACTAGTCGGCTAGTACCTAATGACACATGTTTGTTTGAAATATGAATTTCACTTAGTTCATTTTCAGGAAGATTTGCGTTTTTTTAGTCTTTATTTTCGCATGGTTTGAAGTTTGTGATATTTTGTGTTCACCTTCAACAACGTAAATATTTATAGTAATCAAGCCGTTAGGAACTCACCTTCCATATCCAATGCAAGGGAAATGAAACGATCTCAAAATTGTGAAGCCCACATACACTATAAAGTTTGAGATGAGTTTCTTTAATTCTTTTAGTAAATCTTTAAACATGTATCTCATCCTGACAATATGCACTCATTATGGTTGTTTCATTTTTGTAGAAAAAGTACATTTTTCACATAAGACTAGTTAGTATAATTTCCTCTACAGCTTATAGCTATTGTCATTAACTATATGATAACTACAGGTTTTGAAGTGCTATAATTTAAAATATTATTTACAAATTAAATAAGTAACTAATTTGGTGTTATAGGTTTGAATCCCTACTTTATCAACCGACGTATGACCAATAATCTGTTAAAATTATTGCACGTTTTGACATAGTCCATCAATTTTTAGATTGGTGAAATACATCGTTTTTCATCATTAGTTGTCTTGGTGAACTTAAATATGATGATTTATTAAATAATGTTCATTATTGTAAAACGTGTTTTATGGTAATCTGTTTTATATGTGTGGTTTATATAATTTTGTAGAAATTTGAATAGTAATGGAAAGTAACGCCGAAACTGATAAACTTCCATCAATAAATACATCTACACTTATATGTGATTGTATGAAGAATTCAAAAACTGATATATCTAAAGAAAATGATGGCATTGAGGATAAAACAGATGGAATGTCTACTTGCCTAAATCCAAACTGTCCATACGCTTATCTTAGACGGAATACTTTCACTTCAGAGGCATTCAAAATACAACTGAAGAACATTTCTCGTCATGCAGGTTTCTCTGTAAGAGTTGTCTCATAATTAAATTAATCAAATTATTATAATTTTAAGCCTTCTGTTTTAGCCAAAACCGTACAAATAAAAATTAATTGGTACCTGACTCACTGGAATAATAAAGAGTAATCCAGAACAACAAAAAAAACGAGTCAGTTATAAACTGTCGGATTGATCTTCTTGAACTACATTCCTTTGTCGGTTTCTTTAGTGGTCTATTTCACTAAACCTTTATGGATTGTAAATCAAGCTAATAAAGTAAAACCCCTAAATAAACAGTTTAAGTCAGAATCTAAAACCATTCAGTTATCCGTTTCGGTTTTTTCATGAGTTTCTAGTTGACAGCCTTCTAAATCAAGCAATGTATACTCATCTAACATGTTACTGAACATAGGAAGCTAAAATATGACCTCATAGGGATATTTATTAAATCAATGAATACAAACCAACTAGTTTGATGTTTCTTATTTTTTAATGAAGTCAAGATGTCAGCGGAAATGTAGCTGTTTGTTTGCCGACGGTGAGATTTTACTTTACGTAACAATGTTGTCTCTCATTCATGTAAAGGCTAGAAATGTTATTAATGAACTGCTAAGGCAACATCATATTCCCTTATAAACGTAAAATTTAAACTCAAGTGTTCAATATTAAATTAATTAATTGAAAATGCACATCTAGTACCTTGTTCAAACGAGCTAATCGTACTGCATGTCCAAGATCATAGCTTGGACTGATTAAGCTTATTAATAGAGTTTGGATAATTACTTTTGAATAGTCTAATACCTCTCATTGTTTCATACTACAAAAACAGATAGGAATCATCTCATGGTAATTACAGCTGGATGCCACTACAGTCCTAGATTTTATGATCATCTGAAATTTGAATAAAGTTAACGGATAAAGAACCTTGAAAAATCATCCAATTTTCTGGTCTGTTCATAGGTGCGTCGATCTAATATTTAACTCTCGTCAGGTTTTAAAACTTATTGGTGTCCGTCTACAACCACTGAACGGTTAAAAGATCTTGTTAATGATCAAACCACTTATGGCAGTTTCCTCACATAACTAGTAATCATCCGAATTGTATATTCAGCGCTATTCGTAAACTTACTTACACCTGTTTCCGCTCGTGGAGGAACATTCTCCATTCACTTCTGTCCTCGGCAATCCTCTCCAGTTGTTTCCGGTTGCTATTCATCATTTTGATGTCTGCTTCCGATACTCGGCGTAGTGTGTTCTTTGGCCTTCCTCTTTTCCGTTTACCTTCAGGATTGTAAGTTAGCGCTTGCTTCGTGATGCAGTTTGATGAGTTTCTCAATGTGTGTCCTATACACTTCCATCATCTTTTCATAATTTTCTCTTCAGATGGGAGGTGGTTTGTTTTCTCCCACGGTAGGATGTTGCTAACGGTATCCGGCCAAAGGATATTCAGTATCTTGCTTAGACAATTCTTGAGGCGATTGAGCTGCTGAACGTATATAGAAAGATGCCCCCAAACAAGCAACCAGCGGGAAATGAGCAGCTGCCAGATCTCAAGGAAGCAATTCGCGTCTTCATTAGTCCAGCTTGAGATCTGAATGAAATCATCAAGATGGCCCACCACAGCTTAGTGGATGACAAATAAATATAGGCATGCTTACAAGGGGAAAAATGCAAGCGAAGAAGATACAAATTATCGCGAACTCTAAAGTATGTGGGTTGACAGTTTCAACTAGAGAACCCTTATACTGATCCCCATACCAACGCGAAATAGAATATTCATGAGCAAAGTTTGAATGTTGTTGATGATTCGATCAAAAAACAAAATATGGTCAGAGACTGGCCGACAATAGCATCTAGGAAATGAAGAAAAAAGTGAGATCCGCATGTTTCTTTCCAAATCAAACTACGACGATGAAAAGAGATTATGAATCAAAAGTCTCAAAGCTTTTCAAAATATTTCGCAGAGAGGTTAGTTATTCTTTGTGATTCAAAAGAGTCCTCCGAAAAGGAATCAGAAGTTTAGTTGGAACACAATCTAAGCCCCATTTAATCCCTAATAAGCAAGCTACTGCCGGAAACAGTATTAGGAGTTAACATTCATATACTTCACAGAGTAGGACAAAAAGTGGACTCTGAAACTACTCCTCCTCTTAAAAGAACCTTGTACTTAAGGGTTTTCACATTGTGGAAGCTCAGAGTAAAACCATTCCCAAACCACTTTGGGTGGTATGGGAAAACATTCCTTATAAATAAATATGCTATACAAATGCCCACAATCTACCAAATAAAATGACGGGGCTCAGAACTGTGGTGGACACAAAAAACCCTGATGCCATTCCCATCTCGGAAACGTAGCTAACTTCAGAAGCTCATTATAGTGAAATTAGACTGTTTGGTTTCCTACTTTGTTGGGCTTACAGATTAAACCGCAGAGGTGGTGGAGTTACCCTGTACATAATAAGCACATTAACCATACGAGCTATTGAGACAGCGTCACACGACTCAGGGATATGTGAGCTTACTTTTCTCATACATAAATTACAAAACGGGAACTCACCATTGGATTCTCAACTTATTTACGGAGGGGAGTGCATCAAGTGAAAGAGAAAAACCAGGACAAAGCAGAGGCCATGGCGGACTATTTCTGGACATTTTTCACTCAAGAACCTCATCTAAGCGAAGAACTAGACCCAAATACAAAGTCACATAGTCGGCTGCTTACTGTGGACTTTGATTGAGACGCCGTACTAAAGGCCCTTAGCAATTTAGACACAGGAAAATCCACATAGCCGAAGGAACTACATTCCAAAATCTTGAGGAATGTTGAGTATTTGGAAAATTGCCACTTCACTGATTATGATATTCAAAATGTCACTTGACTAAGGTGAGTTACTTACTGATTGGAAGGATGCGATTGTCGCTCCGATTCATAAGGTAGAATCAAGACAGCTTTCATCAAACTACAGATTTGTCAGCCTCTCTAGTGTCGTAGTTAAAACTCTGGAAAGAATAATCAAAAGGGCCATAATGAAATTCATTGAAACCAACAACTTGTTAAGGAGCGGACAACATGGTTTCAGGTAAGGATTTTTTCACGCAATAAACCTCCTGATAGCAAAAGACAAATGGTCAAATTTTCCAAATAATGGAGAATCAGTGGATGTTGTTGCCGTAGACTTCAGGAAAACATTTGATAAGGTTCCGAATAATAAACTCTTTTTAAGACTGGAAAATCCAAGAATCGCTGGACGTTTCTTAAAATAAATCAACGATTTCATAGTAAGTGGTAGACAGAAAATAAGAGTCTACTTCAATTGATTCTCCTGGGAACCAGTACTTATTGGAGTACCGAAAGACTCTGTCCTAGGTCCTTTACTTTTTATATTGTATGTAAATGAACTCCCAAGTATAGTTGAGTCTCCGATGCTACTTCACGCTGATGATGTAAAGGTTTGGCGAGAAATAATAGGAGACGCAGATGCGTTTGCACTTTAGGAGGACTTTGATGTCCTGATTAGCTGGTCTAAAGCGTGGCTGATGCCTATCAACGAGGCCAAGTGTGTCTACATCCACATTGGGGATACATAAGTAAATAGGTACAGCACAAGGGGACAGGCGCTGCCCGTAGTCCGGTTTCACAATGATCTTAGGGTAACAATAAGCCATGGTCTTAAGACCAAGGCCCACTACAGCGTAGTTTCAGTTAGGGAGTTCGCAACCCTATATTCTTTAAGATGAACATTTACCAAGTATACTAATATGTTCACTACAGTATACACAACCATAGTGAGATCCAAACTTGAAAACTGCGTTCAGGCTTCAATCCCCTGTTTTTTAAAGGTGAATCAGATATCTTTGAAAAAGTACAGAGAGGAGGTACCAATGCAATTCCAGAACTCCGGGGTTTACCATACACAGAGCGGCTTGAGAAGCTAGACCTATTTACTCTGTTCTACGGCAGATTAAGAGGTGATCTGATTTTGATGTATTGAATACTAAGAAATAATTATAGACCTGTTATATCCTCTCTTTTTCTTCCTACCATATTGGGACAACTCAGAAGAAATAGCAGGTGAGTACAAAGGCTAAGAATGAACAAGATACTTGTGAGATACAGGTTTTCAGACCGAGTCATCAATTCTTGGAATCTGTTACTCAAAGCAGTAATTTTTAGTGATTGTATTAATATTAAGTATATCAACTTGGATAGATACACATTTATACCTTATCCTGTATACTTCTAGCTGTCTGATATAATGTAAATAATTGAAACAATTTTGACCTACCTCATCTTGTAAAATTTCCTGATGTTAAACTAACTCCACTGCATTTTTATGTTTAAAGCATTTTCAATCTTCCTGTTGTTGATGTTATGGACTGAATTTCGATGTATTTTTTGTCACGTATGCGTCCTGAGAGAATCGCCTTAGTATTGTCATTAAGTCACACGTTTTCCAGTTAAGTTTGGTAGTGGCTAGCAATGGAAACCAGATCGCGCATTTCTTTCTGTTTGGGGTTCGCTAGGCGGATGTACCTTAATCCCAATGTTAGCATTCACATCGGGACTCAAACCCAGTGCTTTTCACGTTAAATACACTAACCGTTATCAACTGGTTTCTTGAGTTCATATAGCCACAGGTTCGTTATAAGCGTACAAATTTAACATTGTAAAGCTTTTTGAGTCTTCCCGTTATTGATGTTAAGAACTAAATTTTGACCAGTCTATTTTGCATACTTAATTTTATAACAACAAGTAGTACAAACTCAACATTTTTCCTCATTTTTCATTTGAAGGTAATGAAGAAGATGTTACAGTCATTGAATGTAAAATTTTGCAAGATAAAGTTTCCAAAATGCGGTTTAGCATTTCTTTCATTTGAGTAATTTGGGTAAAATATTTCATAGAATCGATTTTCAGATCTGCTACTGATCGTGATTACGCTATCACTGTTTTGAATGGACACATTTGGAAAGGCTCAAAAATGGAAGCTAAGGTTAGTTCTTGGTCCTCAATCTCGCCTATTACCATTATTCTCCAATTTTCCCAGTTATTATAAAATTCATCATCGAAGATGTGAAGCAGTTGTGATATTAATTGATATACCTGTTAAACGAGTTGATGGCTATCGTTACTCATTAACTTTTTGGATAACGTATTGGCATTTCAGATCATAGGTAATGAGTTGCAGTCTCACATTGTGAACATCAACACAAGGATGTATTTGTGTTTAGCTGACGAGTACGGAGTAGGACGAAACACTTCCTAAATTCGATTTCTAGCCGCCATCCGGAAGTATTCTTGCTTTACATAATCTGCCAATGTAAACGTTATTCGGATTATTCAACTTGACCAAACCTTCGTGTGTATACTGAAGGCCAAAAGGAAGTGGTACTGTACATATGTTTTAATTGCGTGAGATGATTTAGAGAAAACCAGTTTTCCAACTTTATCATTTCTATGTTGGGATATAGTACTTCGGTATTTTGAAAAAGAATCACATCGCGAAACAAGCAATCTCAAAGTGAGCTGGTATAAAAATGGCGTTGGCTTAATTACACTCAGTGTTTCGATTGTTCAGTAGAGAAGTAGATATATATCAGAACAAGAGTTTATAGACGTAAAGATATAAGGGCAGAATTATGTATATTTCCACATAAACAGTACTTATGCATGATATATCAGATGCTTGCCTACACCCCTTGATTAAACCCAGATCACTTTAGCTGAACCACACTAACTAAGCTGAACAATTAGAGCCTACCGTAATGATGGTTAAAGACAACCTGCATCATGATAATTCACGTTAGAGATGAAGATTCCTTTATCATAGCAATTTCTTAATGTTGTTTGAGCACAATGAAATCAATGAAGTATGATATAAAGAGCTGCAGTGAACGGTACAAGAAAAGAGCTTGGGCAGAAAAACTTAAAAGACGTTCTGATTCCTCTCATATACAAGAATCGATTCACCAACTACAAGAGGAGTCGGTGAACGGTCCTGGAAAGTGATTATGAGCTTTAAAATGGGACATAGTTTTTGCAGCTCCCACCATGAAGCAGTTTTCAAATGTAGAGTTCTGGCACCACTTAAACAATAGGCATAAAGAGCGACTCCTAATAGAAAGGTCACCAAAAAGCTTTGACAAAGTCAAAGAAAGCCTTCATCGAAGTAAAACATTCCGTCAAATCAGCACCAGTTTAGTCCTTCTTTCTGATCAGAATTTTTGTCACGACCACCTGTACAACACACACAACAACAGATGGATCACCTAACGATCAATAAAGGTTATTTATGTCACTAAGACGAAGGTCCTTCGAACGTTTTTGGTTGCTGAATGTTTATAGTAAGGGTCTCAGGCTTAATGTGGATGGCTATAAGGGGATTCCGAGGATCGATGCCATGCCTTAGTTAAACAGAATGACTTCTGGGAGATCATATGTGTTCCAGTAGGATTCCAAAATCAGTCACACATCCAGATACTCGACTGTATATTTTCAAGACTTCTCCATTCCTAGCCTTTGGTTCTCCAATTTCACTGATTTCAACCCTGTGGATTATTGTGCTTTGAATGTGATTGTGAAAGATACCAACTATACTTTGAGTAATGCAAGCTTTAATATAAACACATCCATCTGACCCACAAAATTAAGGTATTCGAAGCTTCTTACGGATGCTGTAAAAACTCAACGCCCCTGATTCAGGAGCCGAACTCGAGTGTGTGGTAGGCGCTCAACGTAGTTGCTTCGAGTGACCATGTCTCGATCATTTTAGTCGTTGTAACTGATATTTTTTCAAATATATTTATATCTTTCTCTTCAAAGAAAACTACAGTTTATCCTGAACGTTCCTTGAAATAACTCATATTTATCGATCATGAATTATATTCATCCAATTCTTACTGTAAAGTAGGATCATAAATTAATTACAGATAAAGATATTCTGTTTTTTAAATTCCAATCATCATCATACAACATAACAATAAAAAACGTCGGTAATATCTGCATCAAAACAGTCGTTATTCTGAATTTTTGTATAAGTAAACCTCTAATAATGTGTAACTGATATTTTATCTACGCAATAAAGCACATAATTTTTGGAGGTTACAAACTAGTCATTCTCGAGGTTATATATAGTTTTCTACGTGGAAATGGTAAATTGGCTTTTAGGGCTCTAGATGTCCATCGATTGATGTCATTTGTGATATGTTTTACATATCCGGGCATCACTTATTCCGATGCACAATTTGGGTAGTATTCGATCAGGTTGGATGAAGACTGAGGATATGCAAGCGAATATTTGCGATCGCCCCGTTAAGTCCACTGACTACCGGTCTAAGTCATATGGAGAAATCTAAACGTACTGGATTTGAGCCATAGAGATAATCCTAATCTATAGTTGGAGTCCATAAGTGCCATATTTCTCAAACTATATTGTCTTTTCGTGCAAATCGTAATTATAAATAAAGTATTAATAGAACTATTGTATACCGTCCTCTTGGCCTGTTGGGCTACAATACTTGCAAATCCAGGGACTGTTGAGCTATTTTAGTACAAACAGTTTTTCATTATGAACTCGATAACTACATTTGGCACACAGTACTTCAGCAATTATCTGCTAACACAGGAAAAAGATTAAGTGTAGAAATAACTTGCTATTCTAGCAGAGCAACTTGAGATAATCCAACTCAGCACATATGGTCACGAAAGTATAAACTTCAAATATACAGAAAATTAGCAAACTCAAAGTTGTGGCAGCCAATCAGAAAAGCCCGGAGGTGATCCAAAAAGTTGAATCACAGTAAAAATAAATAGAATACTTAAGGTTGTTGTTTCTAGCAAAACTTTAGCATTATTAACAAAAATCGAGCAGTCATGTGATCATTTTAGCAGTAATAAATTTTGTGAATCTTCCAGAATACCTTGTCAGTAATCATAATTAAAAGTCTATTCATCTTGTCTTATTGTGATGACCTTCAGGCAAGTATAACCAATATAATATTATTAGTAATAATAGTTTAAAGTTTTCTTATTTCTACTACTCGATGTTAAATGTCTTATTTTTGATCTTCCTGGATATGCTAAGATTGCCCGTCCTCATGCTGATCCATTAATTAAAAGAAGAGCGGAATGTGAAGTACAGTCTGAACTCTTATCAAAGGAACAACGTATAGATTGGTTAAATGAACCAGTTGACTTGGAGAAAGCTCACGAAACGTATGTCTTTCAGCAGTTAAAAAGTTTACTGATTAGTTTTTTTAAAATAAAATTTTCTCTTACTATTGTTAGTCTCGATCATGAAATGAATTAAACACACATACCGTGATGAACAAAATGGTTTGCTAGAATCCGGAATATTTCTACAAAATTAGCTTTCTACCTACCATTTTTCAAAGTCAAGCATAGAGGATAGCTGACAAACACCTTCCAAATTAGTACCGGTGTCAGACAAGGCTGCTTACTCTCTCCCTTCTGATGGTTAACTGGACTGTGAAGGCCACATCCCAGGCAAAGCACGTACCTAGACAGCATTATCGATGAACGAGGAGGATCTGATGCAGACGGAAAGGCAAGGATTGGCAAAGCAAGGGCACCATTCCTATAGTTGAACAACGTATGAAACTCAACGAACAGCATGTTCAGAATCTTCAATATGAACGTCAAGACAATTCAACTGTACGGAGCTGGAACTTGGAGAATTACCACAAGTATTTATCAAGAATTGTCTACGCAAGATACTGAATATCCTTTGGCCGGATACCGTTAGCAACATCCTACCGTGGGAGAAAACAAACCACCTCCCATCTGAAGAGAAAATTATGAAAAGATGATGGAAGTGTATAGGACACACATTGAGAAACTCATCAAACTGCATCACGAAGCAAGCGCTAACTTACAATCCTGAAGGTAAACGGAAAAGAGGAAGGCCAAAGAACACACTACGCCGAGTATCGGAAGCAGACATCAAAATGATGAATAGCAACCGGAAACAACTGGAGAGGATTGCCGAGGCCAATACTGAATGTAGAATGCTGATGAGCGGTCTATGCTCCTCCACGAGCGGGAACAGGTATTGTAATTAAGTAAGTATCTACCATTTTTCATATATGTTAACAGTATCAAATCTTGGTATATTATCATTTCATTTCTATTCCTATGTGTATCTCAGCAATTTGAAAATCCTTACGGAATGTTTTAAAATAGAAAAATAAAAAGGTGAACAATTGTTTGCAATATCTTATTGTTTGGGCTTGTACAGTTATAATTTGGTAATTATTATTCCTATTTAAGACTCAGTCAACGTGTAACCCCCTAGTTACAATTTGTAACACTTATTGATCCAATCAGAATGTGTATCTTTGTGCTTTAATATTTTGTTAATTGTAACTGGCAGTTTACGAATTTGTTATAAACAATTTTTTTTCCAATATTCTTTATTTCTGAATGTTCAAATATATTTTCTTCTTGTTACTTTGGGTTATGTTCTGTGATGCATTAAATGTTTTGTCAAACTATTAAAAATATGAATTTTTATTATACTAAATGCTTTGACTTTATTTATTTTATTTTATTTGAACACTTAGATATTGGTGCAAGAAGGCACCAAATACATATGCGCCGCACAAAAAATGTCATTTCATTTAATTGTATGAGGGCTATGATACTGCCCGGGTGCCCAGACCGAAGCAGGTGATTTTCTTATAGGACCACACCACAAGGCAGTGAAGCATCATGAGGAGATGCATTTCCATAGTAGTCGGTTACTAACAACTGATTCATACGCCATTTGTTCCTTCAGGATACTGGAGCTCATGTGCACTATTGGTTCGGAATCAGGGTTTTCCAACTCCCCCAGGTGGACTTTTCGTCCTCTCAATTCCACAAACAACACCTTCGCCACGAGAAGGCAGTGAGTAGGATTTCCATGGAACAGGTTGTATACGCGTAGCCGCGTGAGTATTTCGAGAGACGGCTGGACCTTCCCACTCTTGGCCGTACCAGCTTGTACTTCTTATGAGGTTGTTTGGATCATTTAAGTCGTCTTCACCATATTCTGGGGTATGAATAAACTATTAACTTGCCACGGTATCTCATTTATTATAAGCAATCAGTGTTTTAATGATTAAATATCATTTTAGATAGACCGGTTACTTCATGTTGCAGTAAACGCTAATGATGCTGTTCACAGCGACTTTCAAAGGTTCGTCAATGAAGCCACCCGGCTCAGAAAACATGGATCAAAGCATCGACCTTAGCGGCAAATTTTCATTTCATGATTAGCTAATCTTCCAGATATTTTAAATTTGTTCATGGTATTTCGAATTCTGATTTATTAATCTCTTAGCTTAAAGTTCCTACTAACACTATAAAATGAATATATAACTTGATATTCAGATAAACGAGTTGTCATGACATACTAGAAAATTCTCTCAGTCCATTAATTCAGCTTTAATTCTGAATACTGAATAAGTTTTGAAGTAAAAATTTAACCTTGGCTGTCTTTAATTTGTTTTTACTCCAAAATAATTCGAACCTTATCATTAAGTTTTGTATTTTATGAGTTTTAGTTTCAAAATCCAAAAGTCAATGGCTTCATTAAAGAAAAGAGTTTTCTTTCTGACGAATTTACGTTCAACTGTCTTCTTTATTCTTTAAATAACGGAATAAATGAATAATTTTTTATTTTTCACTTCACAGACTTCGTGACTCCATTCTTCCATTATGGCGTTTGAATTACGATCCAGATCAGTTGATTGAGAAACGAAATCTAGTTTTAAAATGTTTAGCGGAAATAAGAAGGAGATTGTTGTTGATTAATCCAGAAATTGTAAATGTTGACAGTGTGAAATTTGTGTAAGTTCAAATGTTTATGAAATGGTACTAGTAATCGAATTATCCCAATACAACGTTTTATCATCTAGTTTAAACGACTCTGTCATATAACCATTTTGCGAAATCGGTCTTTCTTCACTATACACTACTGTTCTAATGATAATCAACTACATATGTCTTATCAAATATAATAATAATCCATGTGTACTGAAATTGCATATTGGATAAAAATTGACGTGATAAGACAAATTGATGAGTTGGAATGCCATCATCAATTGTTCTAAAAACTACAGGAATGAAATGAAATTAATGGCATTGACAAGTGAATAAGACAAAGTGATATTTAAATTCAGGACTAATCTTAAAGCTTAACAATCAACTCATCTGGATCACTGAACATATTAGTCGTACATCTGTATCAGTTTTTCTTGTGAAGCTAATAAATATTTCAGTCAAAAGTTCATTTTATTTTCTTCTAAACTAAGGGTGTGTGTATGACGGTGGCGATTGAGTAGGCAAAAATCAAATTTACTTTCAATTCATTGTTTAATCCTAGTCAATTTTATGATGATATCAAGTATAATTATTTTTACTTCATTTACTTTATTGATATTGTTTGTTATTAGAGAAGAATACGATTCAAATAGTCAAACAACTATATGTAAACTTGCTCCTATAATTCCATCTGTAAGTTATGTGTTTCTCTGTTAATTCTTTGTCACTATCTTGAATAAACCTATTTATTGTACTCTAACTTCCTAAGCAGATTAATAAATGTTTGTCAATTTAGGATTTCAACCTTTAATAATCTTTAAAAGTAGGGAATATATTTCATTTCACCTTGTTAAAAATTAATATATGGGCTACTTATTTGTCATCAGTGTCATATATTTTTTTGGATCAGAAGGGGTTTTGTGGAGATTTCAGTATTTTCATAGTTGAAATCATTAGCCAATTGAAGCTAGACCACCATGGAAGCGAGACTGGTAGGTCCTGGGTTCGAATCTTACGAGTGCGGGATCGTGGATGCGCAATGCTGATGAGTCCCATAATAGGACGAAACGACCGTCCATTGCTTCTAGGTTTCCCATAGTGGTCTAGCTTCAATTGACTCATGATTTCAACTATCATAATTTTTTGTGATACGTCATGTTTATTAAAGAGGATTTGTGAAACAAACTTGTTGCACTAAGAAACTAATAATGGTATAAACGTCAAATCTATTGCATAAGTTAATACCTATATTGACTCAGAAGCTTTATGGATAATGCATTAGCGTTTGAAGCAAGGCATACTAAATTTGAGCTTAAATTCAAATAATAACCCGACCGTTGCTGCTACCTTGACGTGGTGGTCGGGCTTGCCTATCGTGATGATCCAATCGAGCTATGCTGGCTGGAACAATCGTTCCTCAAGGTCCTACCATGCCAGACAGGTCGGTTGAAGAGCGGTGAGACTAAAAGCAGCAATCCCAAGGTCCGAAGGCGAAGTCGTACTGCCGACTGTACAGAAGTGTAAAAGCAGTAAAGTGTTTCCTTCAGACAACCAGCATGACAGCGATGCTGCCTTCCCACAAGGAGGGATGGGGTTAGAAAAGGTCGACCCTAAAAATGCACACCTCGCCTTATCCCACGGATTTCCGTCTTCGACGGTAAGGACTTTTGAAGAACGGAGCTAACACGTCAAAAATCCCCCACAAAAAGGCCGTGCGTGACCGGCCTCAAGCAGTTATCCCTTGGGCACGGCGGTCACGCTCCCAGGTCGTTAAGACCAACACTAATCCAACTTCTTTTTCAGGTCCCTCAAGAAATACCCTTCCACGGTGTGGGCAGCCGGGAAGTGATACTAGCCCTCATACCCTAAACTGCACACGAGACCAAGTTGGTCGCTTTCAAATCCTTCCTACACCTAATAACTCTGTTATCTCCACGACTAACCCTTCCCACATCCTTTTATCACCTCGCACCGCTAGGGCAAACTATTCGAGTACACAGAACGTTATTCCTGGTCTCCTGAAACCACGCTCTAAACTACATGTAGGAACTTTTAGTGTTCGAACATTGTGCCAAATAGGACAACAGGCTTCCTTAGCTAGGACTCTAGAATCTTACACCATCGATGTGTGCTGCGTCTCCGAAACGCGCATAGAAGATCCGAGTAGTGTCATTCATTTGACCGCACCTAAACAAAATGAAGTTTCATCTAGATACACGCTTCGTGTATCTGGAAGCCTTGACGCTGCTTCCCGTGGCCTCGCTGGAGTAGGTATAGCATTAAGTCCTAGGGCAGAACTAGCTCTTTTAGACTGGATCCCAGTAGACAGTCGTCTATGCGCTGTCCGACTAAACGGATCAGTAAGGACCCGGAAAGATAGGGAAACTCGTCGTTGCCTCTTCGTCGTCTCTGCCTACTCTCCCACTGACTGCAGCTCAGACGATATAAAAGATGAGTTCTACAGGAAACTTTCTGACCTTCTCCGAGAAGCTAGGCGTTCTGATGTAGTAATAGTAGCAGGTGACTTTAATGCTCAAGTAGGTAAACTAAGTGAAAGGGAAAGACACCTGGGTGGATCTTATGGTGTCATGGCGAAAAGAACAGATAATGGCGACCGTCTGTTGCAGCTGTGCTCAGATAACCGCCTATTTCTTGCAAATACTAACAAATTCAGACGTCCCACAATAGTAGTATTTCTTGACCTTAAGGCGGCATTTGACTCCGTTGATCGTGAGGTTCTATGGCAGTGTTTGTCACTGAAAGGAGTACCAAAGAAGTACATTAACCTCATAAAGGCTCTCTACTCGAACACAACTGGTCGAGTTAGAGCCTATGGCGAACTGTCATCAGAACTGATTACCACAAGTGGCGTTCGTCAGGGCTGTCCACTCTCCCCATTCTTGTTTAACTTTGTCATTGACATACTTTTAGAAATAGCACTTTCATCAGCTAAGCCTCCAGGAGTTGAACTTTTACCAGGAGGCTCACTTGTTGACTTAGAATACGCCGACGACATAGTTTTACTCGGTGAAGACGCTGACAACATACAGAGTCTTCTGACCACTATAAGCAACTATGCAGGCATGTTCGGGATGCGATTCTCTCCCTCGAAGTGCAAAATGTTACTTCAGGATTGGGTTGCAGCTACACCTGAATTAATGATAGGGAGTGAAGTAGTTGAGCATGTAGACCACTTCACTTATCTTGGGAGTCTCATCAGCCCTTGTGGTCTGGTATGTGACGAAATCTCAGCACAGATACAGAAGGCTCGTCTATTTTTCGCCAACTTGCGTCATTTATGGCGTAGGCGAGATATCCGTCTAGCAACCAAAGGACGGGTTTACTGTGCAGCAGTTCGCTCCGTCCTACTTTATGGCAGTGAAACATGGCCGATAAGAGTAGAGGATATTCGTAGGCTACTAGTGTTCGATCATAGGTGTCTTCGAAGCATTGCTCGTATATCCTGGGACCACCGGGTAAGTAATGCAGTTGTTAGGAAACGAGTACTAGGTAGGGATGGCAAATCGATTGATGAAGTAGTGAAACTTCATCAGTTGAGATGGCTGGGACATGTGTTACGTATGCCCGACCACCGACTGCCCCGACGTGCAATGTTTCATGGTGTAGGAGTAGGTTGGAAGAAAGCTAGGGGTGGCCAGACCAAAACGTGGCACAAATCAATGAAGTCATTGACAAGTGGACTGGGCCATGTTGGTAGGTGTAGACTACCTGGTTGGGATTCGCGAGATGACAGCAACCGATGGTTAGAGACCTTGAATGACATGGCTCAAAATCGTTTGCAATGGCGAAGGTGCATCCACTCTTTGTGTTCTACTAAATCCTAATCTTCTGAATTCCTCATGTCTTTATCTTTTTCTCTTTCCAAATTTATTTCACTGTACTGTACTCCTTCAATAATTTCTTCAAACCCTAATCTTTTGGATTTCTGATTATACTCCTACTACTTCTACCACTATGGGATTTGAATCGACAACTGCATCTCTGTGCTAATGTGGTATGGCAACTCGAACTGATGTACGTACATACGAAGTTCTACGTTGTGACTGACTGAATAACACTAAGATGTAAGAACATTTATTTGATCAGTCTTAATCGGAACCAAATACACGTCTTAGATCCCACTACCTAACATGATCTTTTTTTTAAAAAAAAAAGTGGACAAGCGTTTCACATAATTTACGGGTAATAGATTTTATTTAATCATTAAGAAATGTTATTTGCCTAGTATTTACTAAATTTTACAATCTACATTATCTAATCAAACGAAGCAGTGTAAAATAAACGATCCAGTCTATTAATTTTTGATTGGTTCCTTCGTATGTATCCACCAAAATATTTTAAATAGTGCAAGTGATATCATAATATTTTTCTTGATAAAAAAACACTTTTCATATGGTAAAATTGCTTTTTAATATTCCACAAACCTATTACACTAGCCTATTCAAACTGAATATCGAAATAAATCTGAACTTACTATTGGCTACGACGTGGATGGTTCAGGTTAGTTATATATTCATTTTTATTCCAAGTAAATTACTTCTTTTCGTCATAAAAATATTTCTATTTAATATACATAAATTTTTGGATAACCGGTCACTTAGAAAATTATGCACTACACAAATACAGAGATAAATAAATAAAAGAAGGTCCAAGGGAGTGTAATCGCGAAGTAAACAAGTAAAGAATAATATATCGTATGAGATACAGTTCTTTTAAAATTGCAGCTATAAAAGGCTTCTTCCAGTTTAAGGAGTTCCTCTTATTTTTACAGAGAAAATTGCAGGGATTCCTACAAGCTTCTATTCCGACTCACGTTTGATAACATGTCAAACCACTAAGTTGTACCATTTATAGAACCCAAACTGAAGAGTCTTGATAGGCTAATATGTGTCAATCTTATGTAACTTTCATACCTTTGCACTATGTAATAAAATGTCCACCTCTCTGATCTTTTCGCCCGTCCGTAGCATCGAGAAATGGTGAGCTATGTAGAAGCCTCTTAAACGATATTTATAGTACATGGGAATACTTCTGTATTGACATTCATCGTTGATCATATAGTAATTTCTATGTTTTTCCCCTCATCACTATTGAGTGAGGATCGAATTATATTTTTTTGTCATCGATACTTACTAAACCCCAATGATTACTTTTTACTAATATTATCAGCGTGAGTTGACTAAAAATTCTCTTTACATTATATTTCACTCATCTTAGAAATTTATATCCATCAAATGCTTGTGTTTCATTTTTTCCCCGAACAAACTTTATATTACAAAGTAAGATTAATTGCTTGATTATTATTATTACTCTGACAACCCTGATAAACTGGTGGTAGCTAATGGATAAACATGATGGTCGACCCTTTTTAGTTATACTTTACTATCATTTGATGAGTATGTTAGTCAATCTGTGTTAGTTTTTTTCTCTATACACAATTACGGTACCTTCACCATCCTGTTTTTTCTCAAGAACCGTTATTATCCACAAAAAACGGTTTAATATATGAGGTATTGAAGATTTTAGCAGCGTTTCTTCTTAAATGAATGATGTAAGCTTCATGTTATAACTTGCTCAATTACAGAGGATATGTATATCTCATGTTGGAAAAGTCAACGTTTCTTCAATACTCATGACCACACTATCACTTCAAACACCAACCCATTATTTATTAAGCTTATGAGTTCAGATAGACACTAATTTATTCAACGATTTTAAAATTGAATTTCAAGGGTTCATGTTCTCTATTGTTGATGTTAAAGGTTAGAATCAATTAGTCTTTAACTCATTAGCCTTTGGAGCGAAATATATTTGATCTTAGTCTTGATATAAATATGAACACTGGAATCCAGGGATATCTAATTGACGAGTCCCAAATAGGTTGATAAACACAATCCAAATACCACTTCTAGCCACTTTCAAACCATACTAGAATTTGTTATAAAATGATAATATTGCAGCAATCTGTCCAGGGTTGACTTATTGTTAAGTCGGCTTACAGTAAAGTCTATCAGAGCCTCCAGAGGCTCATAAAGAGCCCAACCAATCAGCGATTAGTTAGAAGCTATGCTACTAAAATAACGAGGTCCTGATTGGCTGTTTAACATACTGCTACTATGGAATCTCAAGGTCTTTTAATTACTATAAAACCCCTGTTTTTCTGTACATAAATGAACCTTGTAGTAAAGTGTTTCTCTGATACTCGTGTCTTCTTACTGGTGTTCAAGTTGCTGTATAGTTCTAGCTCGGGGATCCGAAACTAGCTTAGGGAAGCAAACATAACGTTCACAAACGGCAGACGTAACACTTATACTAAAAGTAAATGATCTACAAAAGACAAACCCTTACAAATAAATAGATTGAATTTTTAAACTCTCAATGTTAGCATTTACACAACGTTCTTATTTTTTCTTAAGGCCCAGTTATTGGTTTTCGCTATTCCAAGTACAAAGGGGGTTCAGTTGCTGTTGGATCATTTAAAAGTTGGAACTTTATGCCGAGAAACTCTACTAAAGTCATAAATGCTTTGCAAAATTTCATAACCGCCTGTTTTAAAGGAGAATTTGAACAATTACCTATGCTTGATGCTTTTGATCCAATCACGTATAATGGAAACTGGCGCCATGTACTCATTCGTGAATCAAGGTCTGGAGATACATTAGTTGTTTTATACATTAATACATATGGCTTTACTGAGGTAACAAAGTTTAAATGGTACCAGATCACTTATTGATTGCTTTTTCATTTTGTATACTTGAACTCATCCATCTTTCTTACCTTTTACTTCTGTTATAAGATAATAATTCAGGTACTAAATTCATGAAGCATCATACATATTGTATTTCCTAGTGTTTACACTTTAACATTGACAACACTAAACAGTTAATAATGTTTAGTGAAGCTAGTCCCTCTGAAGACAATAGAAGATGGTAGCGCAATATCGTGGATTGATTGAATTAAATACTAACACCGTCGGATGTCGACTCAGTAATCTAGAGGTTAACCGTTCACACGCGAGACCGAGAGTTTGGGGTTCGAACCCTGCGTAAGGGATCGTGGATGTGCACTACTAAGGAGTTCTATACTAGAACAAAACGTCCATCTAGTGCTTCAGGTTTCCGATAGTGGTCTAACATTGGCCGGATCATGACTTCAATGAAATTCAACAATCTCCACAACCCCTTAACGATAATAATGCACGTCTTATTGATCATCGAAAAATGACTCGCCATATGTGTCTAATGTTTTAAGGCTCATTGAATTCTCTCGATCATGTTGCAATTTGACTATTAGTCTAAATGAATTGACATTGTATTTTCTGTGTCTCAATGTTAGGCTTTTGAAGGTCGTCGTCAGGGGATTATGGATCCCTAGATTATATGTTAAATATCCAAAACTGAATATTTTAATAAGTTGTTTTTATCCTAAGAAGATTTGTCGATTCGTCGATAGATTACATAAAATATACTAATTTTGAATGCATACGATCAAACTTTGGTGTGCAATTATAAATGATTGAATAATTCTGTACCCCGAAGACTATATATGACTGTTTATGTAGAGAAACCGGTTTTAATTACTCTAGAAACCTTGATGAGATCAGGGAAAGCAATATCATTCTACAGTCTGTCTTAGGTAAGCATGGTATATATATATATATATAACACTTTCTTGTTTTTAATTCATTAGTTTTTGCTGGTTTATGATTCTGTAGATGTAACTTATTGTATCTTGTTGCCGTCATCATCAATAAGAAATAGTGAATCGTTGAAAACTTGGTTTTAAAATATGATGACGTCAGTATTAATTGTAAGATAAAAATATTTCTAGCACGTAATAACTTTTTGTCCATTTGTTACCATAATTTTCTGTAAATATAGCCTCCATATATTCTTCAAAAAGTTCGAAACGCATATGTTAATATTGTTTTTTTTCCTGCTTTAGGAGAATATGAATAATTTGTTGGACGAATTACGAACATGGTTCCAAACCGGTCCAGGCTCAGATTCTGGTTTAACTAGCCTATATCTGTCTATCTGTTCAAGGTAGGTAAACATTTTAGTATTCAGTTTTACAGTCACATTTGTTTACGGTATCCCGATCGGTAATTTGACTCAATATAAATTTTTCAATTTTTTAATCAAATATTATAAAGCATACATCAAATTAAACAATTTCGACTGAGAATTAATTTAATCTCTTTTCTATCTTGCCCAGTAATCATAAATACTTGTTATTATTTTAATAACGAAATTGAATGTTTACATAGTAATAATGCATTTCAAGTGATCGATCTTATTCTATTTTAGGTCAGGTATAAAACAATCTGATGAAGATCTTCGTCAAGTTTTTGGTAAACCTGTAAGTCAAATCCTTCTTTTATATTATTACTGCTATTTTGTTCGTTACATCACCATCATAATTTTGAAGTTGTTGGTCTGTAAATACAATGTGTAATCACAGATTAGTGACAAATTTCATAATTGTTTAGTCATTACTGCTGATCTAATTTTGTCGACTAGTTCATAGTTAGTAAGAAATAGAAGTACTGGACCCATACTTATGAGTTTCAACTAGCACGAAACTCCATTTCAAAGTTCTTCTGTTTGTATTCTTTATTGATTTTATGACTTGTTTTAAAAGATAATTTAGATTTCATCTATTGACATTATTTGATAATTCATGGAGAGGCTATGATTTTAGTCATATTTTAATGAATTCTCCGCAATATTCATCTTTATAGTAGAATGTGTGTCATAAAAACTCAAACTTTTATAGTCCACTAGATTCTCAATATTCTTGACTTATACAGTAGTGTCCAGGTTAAATATAATTTGATACATTTTGTAAGTTTATAAATTCCATGGAACTATACAAACGGATCTGGCCGTCTATGCTTCTCTAAAATATAAAATTTTCTCTTACTCTGTTTACATCAATAAACTTGCAGTTTGCATTTATTGAGATGAATTGTCATTTGGAATTGGATTGATTACTAGTTCATTAGATGTAAAATCTGTTCATCTATTGGAAACATAACTTTCTGTATTAAAATCATATTACATGTTTTCATCTTTCAGTATATTATTGAACAGTGTTGCGGATTAAACTTTCATATATCCATTTCTGCATTCTTCCAAGGTATGCTGTTATTTACATACATATGCTATAGGAAATTATTTTTAAATATACTTATATCACAATATACTGAGATATTGATACAAGAACTCGTTTATCACACAATAAGCTTGGTTATTAAGCAATCTTTGCAGTACATCTGTTCACTAAACTAAATCTTGATACCTGATATCTGATATGTATTACTAAACGCATTGATGAAGAACTCTCATTCCTCAGAAAAATCTTGATACTTTGTTAAACATATTGATTAAAAAACTAATAATGTTCAACCTATAATTTTTGTCTACATAATTGTAAACAACTCATTTATTGATCTACATCGGCTTAGTGGTTAAAGTACTCAACTTTTAACAATATTTAGGGTCACAGATTTTAACCTGACGTCACTTGGTTTAAGTAGTATATTAGGATCACTACAGATTACCAACAAACTATATGGTTCAAAGTTGAGTACATGAAAATATACTTGGTAACCGGATTAGCTAACTAGCAATAAACTTGTACTTGACAAATAACAAACATTATTATGAATTTGTATTTCTGTGTACTTCCGAAAACTTCGAGTCGTAATTGACTAAACACTCCAATGTTTTAACACTGCTAGCTCATTATATTGAACATATTCATTTGAATTGTGTACATATTTCACGTTGATATTTTAAACGGAATGAAATAAAACAAATATGATTAACCTCTTTCTTTGTTAATAAACACATTACTCCATATCGAGTAGATTTTATTTAAACCGAATCATATACTAGTCATTTGTTAAATGATAGTTATGTGTTTGGTTTCTTTTCTTTAAAAATAATAACAAATCTTGTGTGTAGTATATCAAAGAGTCTTTAAATTAGTAATCACTTCACAACAATTTCAATCAAGAGGTATTAAATAGATTATCACAGCCCTCAAGCAAATCGAATGAGATTTGTATGGCGCATATGTATCTGGTGCTTCCTTGTACCAATATTTATGTATTTAAATAAATAAATAAAATAAAAATAGATTATTGGTCAATCACTATTTCTTTGTATATAGTGTTCACATATCAATTAGTTCTACGTTGATAAGAATTGACCTACTATCAATTTACTTATCTTTATGAGTGATGTTGTCATATCAGAACGAAGAATAAGTGCTAAGAATTATTCATGGACTATTATTACATAGATTACTATTGGATAACTATCAACTATATTGTCTGTATATCCATATTCCTTTTATTATAGGCTTCCACTTGACCTATTGACTAATATTGTACGATTTGCCATTCATAACTTATTCCCAATTTTTAGCCACAGTCTTCTACACTCACAGCCACTCGTAGCTTGGTCTTGTATAATTGATATATTTCATTTTATGGTGTGATTTGGTCTGGTCTGTTTGTATGTAAACCAAGTATATCTGTAATATGTAATTCATATAATGGAGTCTGAGATTGCATTCTGGACCCAACATGTAGGGCTGGGCGAGGAGAATCAATAAGGATCCATAGTTGTGTTTTTGACGTATCGTTGAATAAGCACAAGAACAAGGTCATATAAGTCGGTATTCGGATTGACGATTTTGTCATGTGATAATTGACAGGGGCAAAACTCCTAACGATTGGCGACGGGGATCTTGCGAGAAAAAAGTTATTACAAATGTGTGTATATTTTTTTAAATTTTATACTTGCATAATTGTTGAGAGAATTACTTTTTTTTCTTTTTCCATCCTTCATAAATTTCAGTGAATACACTTGCTGCTGAATTATTATTTGAAAGAATATCATGTCTATGTAATTTACCTTCAGAAAATCAGATTACATGTACTAATAAAAATCCTAATGAGAAGAAACGAATACTGCTTGATGTATGTTGTGGTACTGGAACAATAGCTTTATGTCTTTCAAAGGTGAATTCAAATTTTATCATTTCTATTGTACTGTTTTCGTGTCTATATGTAATGCCTATTCACTGCTAACAGCAGTTGTGTTGTTCATTCAATTTATAATCTTAGAAGAATTTGTAGTGAAATGAGAATATGAGTGTGATTAAGTTATACGAAATAATTAAATAGGTGGTTCCATATTATGTAACTTTACAACATACAATACGAAATCTTCATATTTCTGGCAACTTTTTTCTAAAATCATCTTGTTTATTCTTGTCATTTAACCATTCTTTACTTTTCTTAATAAATGGTACTTATAACCATATTCAAAGTTTGATTATATGTTAGAGATGTGCAGTCTCTGAATCAGTGCATCGAAAAACTTCATCTGTAAAACTTGTTTTTACTCTGGTTAATGGGACATAGAAACCATGAGGACAAAAGTAGTTTCGTTCAGGGTATGAATATCATTGTCCCGAATTATTAACATAGTGCACAAATATATCAATATTGAGTATCTCTTTCACAGAACCCATGTATAATGATAATATGATTTATTGAGATAATTACTCACAGTTAATGGATATCAGTCGAAATTTCCATATCCTCCGTCAGCAAAATATGGAAAAAAATTAATAGGGTATGAAATACAAGATGGGGACCATGAAAACCTATTGCACCAGAAAGCTAAGTATTAAAAATGTAATTCCATATTAACAGTTGTTATTAAAGAATCAATAATTTCGAACGAAACTTGAAATAAAGATTAGATTTTTGTTACGAATTCAAGAAAAAGAATAAGGCCGTATCCAATTCGTTATGATCTTATGTCCGGCTTTATATCACACGAATTATCTACCAATTGTCTGATCTTGGCACTGTGCCAAATCAATGATGTTCAACTGGTATAAGCAGTCTAGCGTCCTTATTGGCCCCTTGTCCGCCTAGCCCTTCCAATTGAGTCCAGATTACCAGTTACAGTTTCTGCCATGCGAATCACTTCAAGCATACTCAGTTTATATACCAGACGGCATCACACCATAAAATAGGAAATAATATTTGTACAGGATCAAGCCAAATGTGGTTGTGAACGTGGGAGACAATAATCAATAAACCGAATATCATTGAGAGACAGTAAATCGTATAATAATAATCCATAGGTCAAAATGAAGCTTATAATAAGATGAATATAGAGATACATGATGTAATCACTCAATAGTTAAACAATAGGAACATATATAGAATAATTGTCCATTAATAGGACCCGGAAGATACCCGTACTCATGTCTTCGCTAGGATATAACTATTTCATTTTGTTTTAATAAAATTACTGTATCACATTCCATGAACACTGTATTACGATACATATTTCTTGAGCTCATTTATTAGTGACTTAATCAATTATTTATCATTTGTTTCTACAATATTTATAGCATTTCGATCGTGTAATCGGTATTGATATGTGTAACAGTGCAATTGAAGATGCCAAATCAAACGCAAAATTGAATGGTAACTTTTTTTAAATGTATGATTGGATTTTTTTTTAATTAACACATTTAACTTTTGTGATGGATAACTGTCTCACAGCCTATATGGTTGTAATCCACTGGTCACAACCATTTTGAATGTGAGAGAATTACCCAACACAAGCAATGGGTATGGGTTGCGCAATCTCGTAAGCTGACCGATGTCAAACATGTGTACCATTCGATACCAGCTTAGTGGTCTATAAAATTAAGCGTTCAAGAGCGAGACTGATAGTGTATTTCGTTCCCAGTTGAAGGGGTCGTGAGTACACAATCTCAGGGAGTCCTGAACTTCCAATTTTTCAAATAAGATCCGTTCATTATTCAAAAACTCAGCAAATCCCCTCATACTTGTGTATCAGTTTTGTTACTTTCAAAATTGTTACTAGTTTTTCTGTGAATTAGTCGAAGAAAATCGTTTCTTACCCTATCTATAGCACTCCAGACACTGATTATTTATTTACCGACTGACAACTGTCCTGGAAATATTTCTACCAAACAAATAATCGGTCGTTTTAATTCAGTAAAATTAGGCATGAATCTCTCCTGCGTGGATAATTATCTAATTTTGTAATATAATTACCTGAATAAAAACTTTCAGAAAACAATGCATTAAAATAGTTAACAAAGCAGATTATTCATCTCACTTATCTTCTGAACAGCTTCGTTGAGTTTCACAATAAATGTGTCGTACATTTGATGCGAATATTTTCAGTAAAATAACGATAACACTTGTAGCGATGCAATTCATGAATTTATTTATTTATCTCGTGGATTCTCTTTATAAATGCTTACAAGTTAGAAACAGTATTATCAGTTGTTTAAAAACAAAATTATGAACAGTCTTTATGTGTGAGAGTTGTCTTGAACAAAGTCGGGTTCGACGTCTAGATGAAGATTGATAAGAGACAATTGTAGAGATTGTTTAGTTTTGGTTGTGATCAAGAATCGATCAGTGTTAAACAACTATCGAAAACCTAAAGCACTGGGTGCCGTTCCATGCTAGTACAGGACTTCTCAGAAGTGCGAATCCACGGTCGCACATTTGGGATTCGAAACCAAAAGCTTCGGTTTCGTGCGCAACGCTTAACCTCTAAACCACTTAACCGGCATCCAACAGTGGAAATATCTACTTTCAATCAATTCACAATATTGCGCTACCATCTTCTATTGTCTTCCGTAGGTCACTAAGACCACCCCTAACCCAATTTCCTTTCTAGGTACCTCCAGAAGAACCTTTCCACGTTGTGGGCAACCGGGAAGTGACAACCACACTCATACTTCTAACAACACTCAAGATCACTGTATTCACAATCAATCTTCCTCTCCAATTCCTATAATTCCTCCTACATCGACTTTCAACTCTGAACTTCCTTTTTGGCTTCCTCCTCAAGTGTCATCACAGACAACGATTCCAGTGCACAAAACACTGTCCCAGGTCTACTGTAACCTCGCTCCAAGCTACGCATTGGAGCCTTCAAAGTACTCACCCTCTGTCAAATCGGTCAACAGGCCTCCTTGGATAAAACCTTAGAATCTCGTACCAATGATGTACAATGTGTCTCCAAAACGTGCATACAGGATTCTAGTGTGGCCATTTACTTGACTTCACCTCGCAAAAACGGAGATCCGACAAGATACACCCTCCGTGTATCTGGAGACCCGATGACTAATTCTCGTGGACTTGCACGTGTAGGCATAGCACTTAGTACGAGAGCAGAACAAGCACTATTAGAGTGGATCCCCGTTAACAGTCAGTCAGTCAGTCGGTTACACCGTAGGACCAGGCACATATATACATCAGTTCAAGTTGCCACACCTCATTAGCACAACAAGACGAACACCGAATTCATAGAAGTAGTTAATTTAATGTTGGTAATATATAAAATAAAGGTTGTATATAAGGATACAGTACAGGAAGAAAGGCAGATGTGAAGCAATTTTAATCTCAAGGTTTAAGGGAAGACAAAGAGTGTATACACTTACGCTATTGTGATCGATTCTGAGCCATGTCACACAGTCTCCAACCATTGGTTACAATAGTCGCGCGGACCCCAACCACGTTGTCTGCATCTACCAGCATGGCTCAGACTAGAAGTTAGTGACTTCAAGCACTGATGCCGCGTTTTGGTTTGGCCACCCCTAACTCTCTTCCAACCATCCCCTATACTAGTCGGCATAGCGCGTCGTGGTAATGACTTACTCTATACATCATCCTCTGGGTTATCCGAGATCAGACTCAATGTTCAAGTTAAAAAATTGTGTTAAATGTTGAATACCTTAAACCTAATTTCGTCAAATATTTAAGATGATTGTTTCTTCACCCATCAATCGAAACGAGGCTGGAATTATTTTTGGCCGTTTACCAACTCTTTTTCTAACCTTGATCCCAAGGGTAATGAAAATTTTGAAAATCACTTTATTTCTAAAACTTTTTAATATTGACTTGATCAAGGTGAAATCTTTCTCGTAAACGTTACCCAATTACAATTATGAATAATGGTATTTTTGGTATTTTTGTTATAAAAGTAAGTCGCTGTAACCAATTCTGATAAATTAGTCTCAAATAACACGAAGTAATCCTCTCAGTATCCTACTGTAATTCGTTAAAAAGTACTGGTGAATTTGCAAGGAACAATTGATTTCACTGTATGCTTTTGTATTTTTAATTAATGCAAGTCAATTTTTATTTCTGGAAGTCACATATGAAAACGAAAACTAGATTATATTTCTTTTTCACTGTCATTGACTAAATTTTGTGTTTATCGGCTGATGGGAATATTGAATACGTTTGCTGTTTTTATCAAACTGACTAATTCAATTGTCTATCTTTTTCAGTTAACATTTGAAGCCCTGTAGATTGTTTTAAATTAACTAGAAATCCTTCATTCTCGTCAATAAATATGTTATGGTTATTAATATTTTCCAAAATACAAATATTTTTTAAATTCCCATAGTGTATCAATTTCACATCTCGTCCCTCTATCAGGAATAATTTTACACCTTTATTTTCTTGCTGACAGATATCCAGAATGTTGAATTCTTTGCCGGTAAAGCGGAGAGTATGTTACGAAATACTATAGACAGTTTACCAGAATACTGTGATTTATCAGTTGTAGTTGATCCTCCAAGAGCTGGTCTACGTAAGTTGTTGGTTTCTTATTTAGTTTAGTAATTAATTCCAAGTTATTAATAATATTTTGCTTTGTCGATGATGGTCTGTAATGAATAAACATATTTAAACACAATACTGTTAGTTACCATTACACGTTATGTAGAAAACTGATAGTCTCAGATTTTCTCGTTATGTTTAGGAGCTTTTAAGGTACAGTACTGAACATTATTGCTAATTCCATGACTTTGCTATTGAACGAGTCCAATACTATGCAGACAACGGTAATTGAACATCATCAAGCTAAGCGAGTTACTGCTTCTTAGGCGTTAAATAAAAGAATTTCTTGACTAAAGATCATTTATTATTATTTTTAACAGAAAAGGATTTTGTGGAGATTTTAGCAATTTAATAGTTGAATTCATGAGTCGATTGAAGCTACCACTATAGAAAACCTGGGAGCACTAGATGGCAGTTACGTCCTAGTACGGGACTCCTCAGCAGTGCGTATCCATGATCCCACCGCGGGACTCGAAAACAGGACCTATCTGTCTGAATGACCATATCACACTTTTAGAAGTAATCTTACTTTTTAAAACACGAAACGTTTCTAGTGACAATGAATACCTCCGAGCGTATTGTCCTACAGCATTTTTAAAAAAGCATCACATTTTAATTGTTAATGGTCAACTGATATATGTTAGTCTCCAACAGATTGAATACAATTCATTAACCTATGTGTTTGTTCTGCTAACTGTTCTAACTTGTGGTCTGGATGCTCTGTTAATGTATAACGTGATATTACCACCAATTAGAGAGCAGTGAATTATCGATCGGACCAATGACACGCAAAACCCGTACGAGCAGTCTAGAGTACTTGTTGGTCCTGCTTTCTGCCTAGCCCAGCCAGTTAAGTCCAGAACATGTATCTCGGCCTCTGTGGTATGAACCACTTATTTCAAGCATACTGGGTTTATATACCAAACAGACAGACTGAATCCTACCATAAAATAAGAAACAACATTTGTACAAGATTTAGCTAAATGTGGCTGTGAACAAGGGAGATAGTAAATGATAGAGAGGGCATAATTCAAGAATGGTAAATCGTGTGATAGTTCGTAAATCAAAATAAAGCTCACAATAAGAGAGACGTAGATATAGATAGTTTAGTTATTTAACAACTATACGACAAAAATATATGCATAGTACTGGTTCATAAATAGATCCCAAAGTTACCATTCACTATTCTTATCGGAACATATCACTAACATGATTTTTTTTGGAAAATATGATTTCTAATTGTAACTAGAAGTTGGATTCAAATGTCTACAGGTAGACGTATTTTCACTATATACAAGAAATGCGCTCAAAGTAATGTGAAAATCTTTTGAAGAATTAGGTAAAAGGAAAAATTAAAACTAATCAATAATTAAATTCAACGCACATATTTCTAACTAAGAACTTAGTCGGGGTATGTTTCTCTCGTTTCAAGAGTATATTTAGTATCATACGAAGAATACAACAGAAAAGTAGATTACAATAGCATCTGGCGTTCATGTTAAGCCGAAGTCAAGTACGTGGCAACCCCACTAAGCTGCACGATTTCCAGAAATACATCTATGAATTTCTAACTGCTCGAAAAATTGTCAGAAACTGATCACTCCTTCCACCCGGTTATAGTGTAGGAAGGTACAAAACCTACAGGGATAAAATATGTAAACGCTGTTTGAGCTATCAAATTCAGTGTTCCATGTTGATTTCTTTGATAAAATGGTGAGTTCAACCGTGCTCGAGTATGTGTGTCTAGGAATTAACATTAGCAGCACGATATTTCCGCCGTATATTAGCATATCTTTTGCAGACAACGCTTACGGAACAGAAAATCGTCAACAGCTATCAACTCGGAAAGACTATGTTTCATAAGCTCATAACAGAAACTGTTCACATCGATTCCATTGTTTTCTTTCGCACTATTTGTCTTATATTGTACGCTGTGGTCACCGTTATACTGAAAGAGCTACTTACCGCGGTTGATAACTCCAGACTGTCACTCTTGAACCCGGACAATAGTGGAAAGGCACAAAATATGGATAAAAGCTTTAATTTAAGATTCGTCTCTGTACCAAAATCAAGCTTATTTTTTGTGTTAAACTCTGGAAACTTCTAAAAACATGACAGATTAGGTACACAAAATTTGACACAATCCGTCCATTTTTTAGAACCCGTACGTGGCGGGTGTTAATGATTCGGCTTCTAAAGTTCTTATCAATAAATTCTTGTTGAACCCCAACAATAACTCTTTCTTAATCGTTGTTCTTATCATTTTTCTTATTCATTTTAGATCATTCTGTTATTCAATTGTTGAGAAATTGTAAACAAATTCAAAGAATTATCTATATTTCCTGTAATATAGAATATGCTATAGAAAATTTTTTAAAGTAAGTTTTATGTTTGTGTGCATTAAGAATCCTTTATTTTGAAAGAAGAACAAAGCATCTACTCCATCCATTGTTATATGTTTGTTTGAAAGAGCAGTTTTAACACTAGCCATCAGAGACTCGAGAAGTTTCAACTAGCTAGAAACAAATAGAATCATCTGACTATGGGATACTGATAAAGTACATCAGTACTTGTATTTATTGCCGGTTTAAGGTCGATACATATGTTATTGGAGCGTTTGATACTGATTTTCCAACTGTTCAGTCTCCCAGAAATTGCCTATTTATTAGGCTTCAAACAAAAGACAAAAAGCGGAAATTATGAAAGGATTTGTACTTCTGGGATTTAGGTACAGAAAGCAATGATATTTATAGGCTTTTACATTAAAATAGTTCTACTTATTGTGTAATCATACATTTTTTGAAATTCTTATGCCATGCTTCTTTTCATGATTCCAGTTTTGCTAGACCTTGTTCCAAGAAATTCACAGGAATACCGTTTGTTCCAACTATGGCTGAAGCTGTCGATCTTTTTCCACAAACTCGGCATACTGAAGTTATTTTACTGCTTGAACGTATTCCATCAAATCCATAAACAATTTTGTACATAATTTATTTCAAATAAATTATTTTGTTACAAACTACTGTTTTTTTCTTTATAATAAGCAATTAAGCTTGGTTGATGGTTCGTAAATAAATTCGTGCTGTTACCGTGTGACAATCTTAAACAAAACACTTAGATTGAAAGATCGAATCTTTATAATAGTACAGGTTAAACGAAGAAATATTTTCTTACAATTGATTTCTCATCATGGATCCTCACTAATATACAGGATTTTACAATTAAGAATGAAATCAGTCCTGATCGAACTGTGATGGATCAATCTTTTCTATTAAAATAATGATAAATTAGCAACCTGTTTCTCAAAATTTTCTCGAGTTCAATTACTAATTTCACCCGTGGGTAATTTATTTTAATAAGCTGATTACTTAATTCCATTTGCACACATTTTACTGAATAAATATCATTAAATTTACAAACAACATTGAGGATTCGTATTAAATTGTTTAATTTCGCATTCACTCAATCTTTGTTCTTACATAGTGAGTTGTTATGATTAGCTGATTATATAATCCTATACTAATTTTGAATTTCTTAAATTACTACCTTTGGAGAAAATATTAAGATACATTGCTAAACTGATGCACAACCATTCACTTGCTACTGATTTTATTGTCAACATAGAGTTGTGGAGATTGCTGAGTTTCATCGAAGTCACAAACTGGTCAAAGTTAAACAACCATTGAGAACGTGGAAGAACTGGACGATCTTTACATCCCAGTATGGGACTCCTCATCCATGAACATTCACAATCCGACAAGCGAGGATCGAACCAGAACGTTCGGTCTTCGCACGAACTCTGAGCCGGGATCCAGTGATGTACAGTTCTAAATTCAATCAGTCTACGATAGAGTGCGACCGTCTTTAGTTGTCTTCGGTGGGTATCTTCCCCACACCTGACACGGTTTTTTGTCATGGATACATACTGCTGAAAAATCCCATAACAGGATTAAACGACCGTCCAATGCTTCCAAGTTTTGAGTGGTTGTTTAATTTTGATCGGCTTGTGATTTAAATGAACTGATTTTATTCTCAGTTGCAAAATCCGTATATTAGTGTAGAGCCAATGTCAAGGAATTAATTTAGAGAAAATGTCACTTCACTCAGCAACTTGTATTCGAATCTTGTTAGTCACTGGTCTTATACTGATGAATTCAATCAACGCAATTAAAGAAAGACTTATTTGGATTAACCAGATAAATACATTTATTGACACCCCCCCAAGTGTAACTAAGCATTGATATAAAAACAATAAATGGAAATACGTTTGTAGTGACAGCAGTATTTTGTTTACAAAATTAAATGTTTAGATGAGCAAAAAATGGCACAATCAATGAATGTGTGTACAATAGAAGAAAGAAATTATATGGGAAAAATCAATTGATCACAAGTCGGTATTTACAAGTTTGATGAAGTAAATCACAAAGGATAAAAAATAGATAGGTTTTTTCTTTTAAAAAAATAGATTAGACGTAGATAAAACTAATGTCGTTTCAAAGAAATTTCCGTTATGTGTCAATATAAATCACCACTGAATTTGTGCTCGTAGACTAGTAATCCGATCATACAATTCTTTGTTGGTTTTTCCAACTTCACGCTGAATATACAATAAATCATATTCTGATTTCTCACGAACAGCTACTTGAATGGCTTCTTCGATTCTCCTTTTTAAGTAGGCGAAGTAAAATACAATATTCTTAAATGATTTTATTAAAACAATGTATCTTAACTGATATACTCCCCCCCCAAGGAAAAAAAACAATACATCAATTCAATTCACTGAAAGCAAATTTATCAGCTAAAACTGTGAATATTCAGTCTTACTTTTGATTGTTTTTAGGCAAGGAGATATTTTGGAGTATCATTTCATTATTTTAAGATGTAATCTGTGTATTTTTTTTTTTTACTGTGTGCATGAACTCATGTGAAATCTATAGACTATAACATGTAAACAGTTGTACGTAAAATAAAAAGTTATGTAGTGAATAAATAAAACGGAACATTCTTGTTTTAAAAAAACTTAATCCCATCGATTTTAGATTGTTGAACTGAATGAATACGAGACTTAATTATGATTACTATATATTTTGTAGGTTTACAGAACTATAGTGTATGTGGGTTGTATTTATTACAGATTAATCTTGTTTGAGATACCACTGAAAATCAGGGAGCACTGGACTGTTTTGTTCTAGTAGATAACTATATGAAATTGTATAAATTAAAGAACAAAGTCAGTATTTCACTCTTGTTATTTTAATTACTTTCTGTTCTCTCTTTATGCACTACTAACAACGACGTAAATAGGCATCGAAGAGCTTTCAGTCCTGTAGAATTATTGATTATTTCTCATAATAAGTCATAGCTATACTTAGTTACAACCAATAATTCTATATTACTGTAATTAACAAAAAAAGCGACTTACCCAGCCATTACCCAGAAACGGACTGTTCGTTCAGGTGGAAGTTTAGAAATTAGTTTTACCGCTTCATCTATACGATTGCCGTCGATGCAAATTTTGATTAATATCTTTTTGTATGATAAAAATAATAAGAGTATGACTTAAAATTTGAAATAAAACTTTCTATTAACTGATTAATTAAGCTTTGAGGAGCAATTATTCTTGCAATGTGATAGCCAATAGTTATAGAATGTCTGCGTGGAACCGAATATAGCTAAATTAGGTGGAGGTAGGAACCCATAAGTCACTGCGTGAATATTACGTCAAGTTACTGCTCTAATTGTTGCTTTTTACCGTTTCAAGCAAACCAAAAATGAAGTAGAAGATATGAATTCTTAATTAAAAACTAATGTGGCTGCTTTTTTCTGTTAAATATACAACTTGATATAGGATTGAATAGACCACTCCAATTAGGAGTGCGAAACCCTACATCTGTATGTTCCAATTGGTCAAGTGACTTGTTTTAAATAATATGAGTTCGTTAATTCATTCATCATAGTCTAAGAAACTAAATTGTATGGTGTTTAATTTGAATTGATCTGGTTTATTCTGTGGAAAAGTTTCTTAACCATTTTTGCTTAAATAACATTTTATACGCTCTCTATAACTACCATATATTTTTGTTAAAAATTCAAATTTTTCATTATATCATATCTTGATCCTACATTAAAAAAAACAAGTCTGCTGTTGTTTGACAATTTTATGATATTCTAGTGACGAATACAATCAATCTCCACAAAATTACTTAGCCAAACTGTAATGGTCAGCTCATTGGTGACTTCAATATATTCATCAAATTCTACTGTGAATTCATGAATGGTACAGGTCACACATGTCAAGAGCAACACAGTTGTTGCCGATGATATTAGATGATCGTCGCGCCATATCGTAAACTGATTGAAAATGAGATTGTACCCAGTGGTACTAGTGCTTAAGCGTTTGCTGAAAGAACTGCAGGTTCTGGTTCCGACCTCGAGCAGGGTCTTTGGTGTACATTGCTAGGGAGTAAAATGCCCTTCAGTTTTCTATGGTACCCAACTAAAAATGAATTCAATTTCCACAAAACTATTTAAACTAAATACTGATGTATTGTCATCCGGTATCTTTTCCTAATAATCTACCAACATTGATATAAACGTCAATTAGAAAAGAGAACTGTGATGTTCAATGGATTTGACAAGCATTATTGTTCTTGTTTTTTAGATAAAAAGTACAGCCGGTGTTAGATAGTTTGATGTATTCGGCAGGAGACCCTGGACATACGTTTCGTGCTAGTTGGCGCTCGGTATCAAGGTATAACTCCAATTTTGAAGGAACTGGTGCTTCCTATGGGATTCAAACCCACGTCAACGAAACTCACGACCTAAGACGTTGTGAATGAGCTATTCGATCCACCCATTAATCTAATGAAGAACTGAGATTGATTGCTAATTCAGTAGTAAGAAACACCATCTTGTCTAATCTTATGGTGCTGATAGAAAATTTTGAAAAAAACTTAACACAAATAATAGCACACTTAAAACTCCCAACTAGGATATTTTTGGGTGCTTGTATTGCGAAACAAAATAGTGATTATAATATAACAAAGAATAATCATTAGAAAACAATTATCTAGATTCTTATTTAGTACCTCAACATTAACCGGTGGTTTTTTTGCTCGAATCATTCTATCCATTTCTGACCAAGATGCATTGTTGATAGCCATACCAACAACACGAAGAAAAGCGAAACGTTTTTCTGAAACTCTGAATTCCCTGCGTAACTGATCTGCTTGACGTTCGGATTGCCCGGAAGCTAATAAACGACTGAGTGTTGTGTTTAACGATTGACCAACCCAAAGCTTCTCATTTATACTACTAGACTGTACTACCTCCGGTAATATACGATTAGAGCCGGGTATGGATTTAATTTCGAAGACAGGAGCAGATATTTCTTGTTTCTCAAGTTTACTTTGAAATTTCAATAGGCGAATTTGAGCGTTACATTGCTGGCACAGAGAAAACGAGAAATGAAATCCGAATAGTTATAATCTTTATTTAGTATTTCAGTAAATTTACTGAGAGTGGGAACATAAATAACTCACTGGGAGGGAATTCAAATGGATCCGGAATAGTACCACACAGACAATGAATGTCAACATGTAGAAAGCAAATTTTAAATTTATACACAATAGTACTGATTACTAGTCTATTATTTCAAAAATAAACTTGAACAAATCATTACATGTTAATGACATCCAGAAGTTGGCGTTGTATTACACTACGTATCATGCAGTTATACTAAACCAAGCATATTGGTTAGTTCTCAACCATTGGTTTATAAATAAACAGAAGGCATATATTTCTCTAATTATATTTTGTGAACTATATACTACTTATTGTTGTCAAAATGTTTTACCAGAGTATTTCATATTTTTTGTCATGAAATAGTTTTACGAGTATCTGGAATAGCACCATGCATTATCATACAAATTTGAAGGTTATTTATTTATTTTAGTATCATAAATGCCCTATTTATTTTCCAAAACATTATTTGCTAATATTACTATTCATATAAATTAGTGTAAAACTTAAATAAATCCTCTAATATCTCTCTTCAAGCAAATATATGAAGTAGTTAGGGATGGAAATATCATGACATTTCGTAAATGATATCAATTATCCTAAACAAGTATGAACACAAAGAAGATAGTAACATGGAGACTTCTTGAATGAAATGTTCATGTAATGATTGTAATTTAATATTGATAAATGTTGGTCGAAATTGCCGAAAATTGTACTTATTGTTCACCTTACTCTAAATTTCGAGTTTTCATTTGTTATTTTCCATGTATTTTCTCTATATTTGAATTTTCTCTGTATTATTATCATTATCACTACTGGCCTTCTTACCATAGATATAAGTGATTTTCCAATTCATATGCTTACCTGAGCCATAAAGTCATTCTTTGATTGACGATAAATCTCCTCAGCATTTTGTAGTAATGTCAATCGCGAAACCAAGCTCTACAATTAACGAAAATCAATTATTTGATCATAAGGTTTAAGAGTATACAAACTGTACCGATTATATTATAATGCTTATTATTACTACCATTATTATTTTATCAAAGTAATGTTACATGTGACCGACTTATTAAGAACAGTACATGACTTTTGAGGCATACTTGAAATGTGAAGGCTGATAATACTACTCGAATGGCCAAATCGAAATAGACTATACGGATTACAAAATTCCAACCTACTGCTTGGAACATGGATGCTTTAACTATTAAACTATCACTCTAACCAGGAGTATTCAAACACCTTTATTAAAATAAACGTCGAAATTAGTGTATTCAAAATTTGCTGAACTGAAATTTATTAGCTCATTTTCAGTTTGAACCATCGATAATTGAATTATTCCTTAAAAAAACTTTGATCATAAAGTTGGAAACATGATAGTGAATATCAATAATGGATACAACTTGTGTTTATGAACTGAATTGATAATCTATTGTACGTCAAAACAACCAAGACGGAACTAAAAACTCTTCTTAGATTACTGAATATATACACTCTGTATTGCTTGTAATGAAGGTTAACGGAAGAAGCTTAAGTGCTTCCAACCATACATAGAAGTTTAAGACTTGGAAAAAGGATTACTTAACTTAACGCAAACTGAATATTTTAAAGTGAATGAAAAGTAGAAAATAACAGAAGAGAACAACTTACATTTTCTTGATAGGCTGACAGAACAATTTTTTTAGCTTCTGAAGCACGGTCATTTTCATGATCAAAATTTAAAAGAGCAGATTTTGTTGAATTTTCAGAACCAGATTTAGAATGATCAGCTTGTTCCAGTGTCTCTTGATATATGGCCAGAGCTATTGGATGCCGACGAAGTACCATTGCAAGATCTGCCGGTGGTAATTTACTTTGTTCTTGCAATGCTACCACGACCGTATTAATTAGTTCAGGATTTCCAGTCTCTACTGCTCGAACTAATGCACGATTGTAACGAGATAATTTAAGAAGTAATGGTACCTGACGCCAAGCGCGTGGCTCATATTCTAATATTTGCTCCGCAACTGTTTCTCGACCAGCTGAAATAGATTGACTAGCTACATCAGCAAAATCCAAATGAGGAATAGAGGTACTGTAATAGTTGGCATGATGATTACTAGACTTAGATTTTCTCTCTGATGAATTGTTGAATAACTTATCCACAATAGCTGCTACCCGTTCTGATATCAATGTAGCTGCTTCTGAAGATGTTATAGAACTATTGCACGCCCAATGAGCAAGTAAACGAGTAAATGTGCATGTCCCATAATTGCTTTGACTTTCTTCTAGAATGCTTATTGGCCATTTATGTTTTTGATGGATTCGAACAAGTTCAATCGCCATTGGATAATGACAGCGACTCAGTAAACGTTCAAACAATTTGTTTGGTCCTAATTCACGAAACTGACGCCATGTTAACGCAATACCTAGCCATGGAACAGCTAAGCTATTTAACAAACGCAAAGTTTGACAAACCTTTGCAGCATGATCCGCACTATAAGAAACGGTAAAATTAGGATGCGAATGGAACCGAAAAGTAACTACTTAATTTTTACGTAAAATTAGCAGATTTAAAGTATTGAAATACATTACTAATATGCTGTTGAACCACATAAGCTAGATACAGTTAAGGTTTAGAAGCAAAATAAAACTAGTGAATGAGTCATTGGTAACTTGATAGATCAGAATAAGTCATTTACGAACTTACAGCTTCAATAGTGTCGGGAATATATCCTACCGCCAATCAGAAGGCAAATATACTCCACAACAATTTTCTGTGGGGTACTCTATGGTTGAAACCTGACCACTAAGAATGAGAAGATTGGTTAAATTCATGTATTTGATTAGATATTTTTTACCGCTGATTGAATGATGTGGAGCAACCGAGTGCGATATGTTGTGATGTGTCAAGAAATTGTAGAAATAAGATGGTGGTACCTCTGGCTAAACGGAAGAAGACGCCACAGACAACTAACCAATGAAGAGTATAAAGTGCTTAAAAATATCAGAAATAGGATGGACATGGTTACAATTTCAGTTGATAAATGATGCACCACGATAGATATTTACGAAGAGGACTATGTTAATAAAGTTGAATTGCTAAAGAATAAAAGTATGTATTAGTCATCAACAAGAACTCCAACCAAAAATGTCGACAACTTTATATTTAAGATCGTAAACAAGCTCATCAAAGCAGGAGAAATTAAAAAATCGAAACCAGGTTCATTAAAACTATTTTCCAACGATTTTATGGTAGGCTAAAATCACGTTAAACAATTACTCTTCTACGATCGACTGTTCAATTTCATGGGGAACTTCAGTAACATTAAAACATTTGGTGGATTTATGCAATCACTCCATAAAGTTTCTGATACAATTTTTAGATAAGAATAAGGATGGTCAAATTAGGAGCGAGAAACTAATGGTATTGATGATAACTCAATTTTCAGTAGAGGGTTGTAGAGTTTTATTGAAATCATGAACCGTTCAATGTTAGACCACCATTGGAAACCTAGAAGTGTTGGATGGCTGTTTCATTCTAGCATGGGACTCAATTTACCAACCGAATCGGTAAATGATAAACAAAACTAGAGTCAACAATAAGATCAAAAGGAAAAAACAGTCGAAATGATTTTATGTAGACACTGTATCAGAACAATTAATTATATTCAATGTCAAAGAAACAAGCTGTTAGTTGTTAAGGAATTTTAACAGCTTACATCATTTTGAATTAGACAATACTGTCGAGGAAGGCAATGAAAACCTCACGGTCAAACCTAAAAGCACAATCTTTAATAAGTCATTCGATCATAATGTCTAAAAAAACACTGTACTTGTATGGCCCACTGAATTATCTCAAACATAAAAAATTCTTTAGCAGAGTAATTATGTGTAGAAAACAAACTCACAGTTCTCTTAATTTAGCCCCGACTGAATAATGATCTGTATTTTTATTGTTAGTAACAGTGGTAGAAGAAATAGCAGTATCAGAAGTAGTATTCATCATAGCTGATAATAATCCTCGACCTAAATGAGCAGATTCCAGTAGTTCTTGTTGACAAATAGGATCAACAGTTGCATGACATGCTGCTTCAATACAATGCGATATTGCATCAATCATTTCATTAGGTTGTTTAATAGGCAATAAATAATCATTAGTACGTCCACAATTGATTTTTAAACTCTTGCTTGCAGACAATAACCATGTGGCTGGACACGATGCTCCAATACGTCCAAGTGATTCTAATGGGGATGGTACACGTTGTAATAATTCATGTGATGTAGGTGATAGAATGCGAATTCCATCAATCTAGTGATACAATATGTATGTGTGTACGTTTATGAATAAAGAAAAGTATGATGAGAACTAGAATATTTCATTATTAAACGAACTTTAGCTTAAATGATATTTAGAGGATTTTGTTAAAAAAGAAATAGCTTTCATAAAACACTACTATAATCTAGAAATCGAAGAACTGGGAAGGATTTTGCTTTTGTCCCAATGTTGGATACTTTACCAATGTGTAATAGGGTAACTGATACCTTCACGATACAATGGACTAATAACATAAATATTTCACCAAATAAAGATTCTGCTGATACCTACTTTTCAAGGTAACATAACCAACCTCGGAAAATAAAACATCTAGTAAAAGATAAAACTATTTTTCAGTCACTGGTAATAAAATCTATCACGAATACTATGCTAATATAGGATGAAAAAGATAATTGTATTTAAAAGTTGCAGAATTACGACTAGAACTAAACTAGCCATATTTTGAATTGTAGTAAGGAGTAGAATTCAGAGTAGATTTTTCATTCCACTTTGGGCTGGTCAGTCGGATGTATTTGTACTCCACTGTTGCCGTTTACACAACAACCGTTTCTCTAATCACCCAACAGGTTATTCACTGAGTTCAAATAGCCTGGATGGACCACCAGGATATGGATATACCAACAAAGACCGGTCACAATTCAACCTCTAATATTAACAATGAGATAACTAACTACTAGTGTTATGAAGTAATGAATAATACACTGAGAAAGAAAACAAGGAGTGTGATATATATTCCTGAAATACCTTCCATCATTTCACGATATTCTTTAAATCGTACATCGCAACAACGATACTTAACCTTCATGAATTGGTTTCTATAACGAGTAAGCAAGCTCATCAACACCGTAAATGAATAATCTTAAGATTACTCACTCAACTGTCGGAAGCATCAATACGTACCGGGCAGATATTAAGTTGCTTAATTAGTCTATTACAGAAAATCGTATTATTGTTAATGGTACTAAAAACATCTATGCTAATCAATAAAGACTGAATATAGCCTCGTCAATTAAAACACATATTGTCCACACACAAAATATATATATATTGCTTACCTCTTGTGCTAAACATATATCATCAGCATAAAATGTTTCATAAATATCGGACTGTGCACTGACAATAGCAATTAAATTATTCCATTGAAGTACAACAGCTGAATTAGTTAACCAAAGCATCGTTTTAGGGTGATTTAATTTTTGATTAGCTGAATTACTATTATTATTCATCAACATAACTGATATACGTTGGGTCAAGTCAATGTGTGAATGTAATTCAGTGAATCGTGTATTGGTAATTAACAATTCACCATTGGTTAAATAAATTGCAACAAATTGCATATTCAAAGATATTGACAATAGGCAAATATCAGAGCCAGCTGACCTAGTAAGCTTTGACAAATCAATCTGGATAGTAGGAAAAATATATATATATATATATATATATATATATATATATATATTTGAGGAAAAACTCATGAATAAAATATTGTTTAGTATGTTGAATTTCCATCAACTGAGGTGGTTGTAACGTGTTGCACATGTCTAGCCATGGCCTACATTGACGCGTGATATTAGCTGGTGTAGAGGTGAGTTGGAAGAAAAGCGGGGGCGATCAAACTAAGGCTTGGTATTAGTTCACGAAGACACCGACTACTGACCTGAACCATGCTGGTAGATATAGACCGCATGACTGAGTTATGCACAACAACTACGATAAGTTGCTGGGATCGTTGACTGGTTCTAACCAGTCACAATGGTGCAGATGAATTTCCTTTAATTTTCTATGGATCTTAAGCTCCATAACTCCTTCATCATTACTTCTCCTTTTGTCTTCTTTCGATTCATATCCTTAACGCCTAATACTTTTCATCATTTTCATCTCTTTCACAATCCGTCTTGTTGCTATCAGCTCGCTGCCTTAATGTGATAGAGCAGCTTGGACTACTGCATATTTGTGTCAGGCTTTAATTATGATTAACTGACTCTTTAATGTGCACACGTGCCAACAAATGACGTAGAAAATAGTTGAATGTTTTTTGAAGATAGATACTTTTTTGTCAGTAACCAACATTAATTTTAAATTATTCTGGTTACTAAAATCCATCCCTATCGGATAAACGGGGTTTATATGTAAATAATTTTGGAGTATGATTAAAATAAAACAACTGATTTTAATTTACTCATTGATAGAAATTACGTTAAGTAATAAAAAACATAAATGTAGTAAATGGTTGGTGAATGAGAAACTAATTTAGTTTTATTAAATAGTACTGGACAGTGTGCACTTGAAAATCATAACATTCAAGAATATAGACTGCTGAGTATCCTAAGGTCATGCTAGACGTAGTTATTGACGGTAAACTAAGGTCACGAAGTTTAATATGAATATCTATAATATAAAGAAAAGGAGCATTTATTGTAAAAATAAGTTGATATTATGATGACAAAGTAAACTCCAAAAAGAAGCAAGCACCAAACAGATTCTTGAGTAAAGTAGTAATGTTAGTCGCTTTATTGAATATGACTGATAATGACGGATGCAGAAATAACAGATAAAATTACTGTTACATACAGGGGTTACGAAAGTAATGAATATCAAAGGACAGTCAGCAAATTTGAAGGGAAACATAGGTCCAGACTATGTTTAAAAAACTATGTAATCATTGAAATCCTGTATCGTACATGGGAGTAATAAAATAATTTAATAATTTCTATTTGTAATCCTACACGTCACAACCGATAGCTCCCTTTCTGATTCACTGCGGGGTTTGAAACAATTTAAAGCTTAGAAGTACTTACACCTTCAACTGTTCCAAAGTCAGCTCGGTACAAATTCTTGTTGTTTGAAAACATCACCCATGGGCTTCGAAAAGAATCAGGTGTTCCAGTTTCAAGAGGTGTTGTGACAATAGTCCAATGTGATAAAGACTTTACTGGTCCAGGTAATTCTACAAGGCGTCGCATACGAGGAGTCTCGATACTAGTGGTTACATATATGTGGTTTCCACCGGTAAGAATAGCCATTCCTGTATTCTAAAAAAAGATGTCCTACATTAGTACTGAAAGTAACAAGTTATATATATATATATATATATATATATATATATATATATATATATATATATATATATATATATATATATATATATATATATATATGAATTATTAATTACGACTACGATATAGTGATCAAAGGTAAAGTTTAATAGCTAAGTTGAAAGCACTACTTAACTCTAATAAGGACAAAGAGTTGGACAGGCCAAAAAATCAAAACGGTCATAGGCAAAAATTAGCATTATTTTGCGATCATAGATGGTTGGACAATAATTTTCACACCCATAGGAGTCCATTATGCACGCCGTTTGAAGCATATAAAAAGTTATGCAAAAGTTTCAGAAATTAGTTAAAATTAGAGGTGCATTAGCTGTTTAGCTTTGTTCTAAATTGAATAAGGGAGGATAAAAAAGGGGGAACAATTTGTTAGTGGTTAGTGTTAGAGAGGGTCTCAAATGTAGATAATTTTCGTTCTCAGTAGACCAGCCTTCACAAAGATTCATCTTTCGAGATCTGATAAGTTAAGAGGAAACAATTCTCCACAACTATTTTCGGAAGTGTTTCACTGCACAATTCTTTTCTATACGTTCAGAAATTTCTGATCAAACAAAGCAGTTGCACATCTGGCAAAATAGGTTGAGATTCGAAAGTGTCACCCCTACGAACATAGGTATGATATATTTACACAGAATTTAAGAAGTCCTGGTGGAAACCACTTAACACATCCAGTCCAATAGTTTATCGTGTTTTGAAATTGACAAGCTGAATTCCTGAGTACTGACTAATTTAGGAAGAATCTTTAAAATAAACTGACCTTTTATAACTTTTCGCCAAAGGTTGATAACATTCTTTGGTGCTGTTTTACGGCAAACTGAAGATTATATCAAGCTATAATGGGATGGAAGTCCTGTTTATGATTCTAAAAATTTAGCTAGCAATTCGGTAAATATACCCAATAATATAATACTGAGCTATTTTACATGAAAATTACTGTAAGACATTTGCAATCTCTAAAAACAGCTCATTAATACAGTGATATTCAGAAACCGTCAACCTATTAACTATACATTGTTTCTATTAAATACAGCTACGCTGTTTCACAGAAAATTCAGTAATTAAGAAGTTTGTGACACATCTGTTAAATGAAGATTCGGAAATTTCAAATCAGAACAAGAACTAATTCACACTAATAGTATCAATACGGTAAAACTTACTCACATAATCAATGGTAAAAAGCTTAGCACCAATTATTTCTCTTTCTTCAGCTTCAGGTCCCATACTGAAACGTCGAACAAACTTGCCCTGATGATCTAATATTGTGGTGAATCCCGTTTTTTGAATAACTAACAAATCCTCTGACAAAGTCCAACCAAGCAATATACCAGGTGCATCTTTCCACTGAAAAAGAGAAAGTTTAATTTCTTTTCTTTAATTTATTAATTTCGTATTATGGAATGAATTCAGTATCGAAGAACAGATCTAGATAAGAAGTTGGACAAGTGACAATGGGTCAGTTTCTATCAAATGTGATAACAACGAAACATTTTTATTTACATCACTATTTTCAGAAAATGAAACATAAAAAAGTGACAACTTAACTACTTTCAAGTACTCTAGCTCACAATACAGCTGGGCATTATTTTGACACGGGAAGACAGATATATCATAATTGCCTACCAGTCTACCATGTTTAAAAGGGTTTCTCAAATTATTCTAAACAAAGGTAATCAGCAAATTCGCTTACATGTCTTGAACATGGATTTCATTTAGTTATAATAAATGTACGGCTCGAAACAGATGTGCATTAGTTCATGACTTTCATAAAGATATACTCAGCTCTATTGAGGGCAGATTCCAAACTCCACCAAAATAGTTCAGTGTTTTATCGATAATTACCAGGTATCCTCTCACACTGACGAAGACAAAAGAACTAAAGCTTCAGTCTACAAAGCCAAACGGAGTTATCATATTTAATTAGAATGCATAAGTCAACATACTAAGTGGTCCTGTGAAGTGAAACTTAAAACGTTAGTTAAGGGGCTTTGAAATCTAGTGCATCAAACGGACTATTTTTACCTTTGAAAACTACACCTGAACTTATGTCTCGATTTAACCAGTAATTTCGAACTAATATCCAAAAACTATATGAAAATAATATATTGGATTCAGCTTTCTTTTTTACATAAATCCAGTATTATAGTTTCTTGAGCAGGTCATTTCAGCGAACAATTTGTACATAATTTACCTATTTTAGCCTCTCTTTCCGCCAATCAAAGTTGGTATTTGTGCACAGGTTAGTTTGAACGATGCTAGAAAGTTAATACAAAACTCGATTAAATAGATTTTCCTTATAAGTAAGCTTGATGAGCGTATTTAGTTCAAAAATGACAAGTTTACCTGGATATATGTCTTTTCTGTATGTTTATGGATATGGATAAAAGTACGTCAAACAATGAACAATCAAGGTCTACATATGCGCTTCACAATAAATGGTAATATCCAAGTAATCCCTTCAATAGTAACTATGCCCCATCTTGTAATTGATGTTTAATAGCGTCTACAAACAGGTAACTTTCAGAGAACCCCATAAGACAACCATTTATTGTAATCTTTTTGGCTTCAAATCACAAAACATTGTTCAAGGCTTTAATCTGCAGTTGGAAACACGACCATCTCTACGGTCAGATAAAAATGTGAACCCATTTCTTACCTACACATGTGACTCCTTGTGGAAACATAGGCCGCTGACTAGGACTCTCCAGCCAACTCTGTACTGGGTTCTCCTTTCAATCTGGTTCCTGTTGGTATTCATTCTTTTGAATCTATACCTAGGTCTTAAAGTAAGGTACAGGTTTAGCATTGTGACATTATCTTATTGTGGATTTACTACAACGTGAATAGCTTTCTCTTAAACAGAAAATACTGCGGGACACTGAGTATCAATTGTCATATTAATTAAAAGATAAGTTTACACATTCAATTCCGAAATAATAAATAAAGTTGAAATCAACTCACAACACTTTGAGAAACGAGTTTTCCTGATGATGTATATATTTGAAGTATAGGTTTTGCTCCCGCTTGGCCATCCAAATACATTGCTAAGTAAACTAAAACTACTGGTAAAAGTATCCCTACCGATATAACCAGAATACTGACAAATGGATGTCTTGAATTGTGATATTGAAAATCCCACACCCCATGGCATATCGTAAAGATGAAGCTTTCTAAAATACAATAAAAATCGAATCAACAATTACCTGAAATAAATGTCTCCGACAGCAAACCAGTCCTCACCCAAGACTGTCATTATGAAGTATCAGAAAAGTACTATCCACGATTAAAACTAATATTGGGTTTAACGACTGACGACAATGATAGGTAAGAAAAACACAGATCCTTAAATAAAAAGCAAATAATGTTTAATGAACGAAGTCAACACAGTTAAAGATGGCAGGAAAGTCGATAGAAGCGAAATATAAAGAATTTAACATATAAACATATAAAAACAGCATTAAACGCGTGATTCCTAGCACTGACTTGCTTAGCAGACTACGTACGCATGAATTAATGTATTACCACTAGTCTTCCAGCAGTGCATATATGTTGGATTACTTGAATCTCAGACAAAAACCGCATGTACGAACCTTGGTTCTTCTTATTTTTTCGGGGAGTCAGGTAGTATCAATAGCATTCAAATAAACAGTATAATTTAGAGCCTAGTTTATGAATCTGTGATTGACTAATAACTTATTATCATGGCTAAATGGTGGCTAGCAACGGAATTCAGGACGCGTGTTACATCCTACTTAGGGCTCATCAACCTGTTGCACTTGCATTTCAAAGTTGATATTAGCTCCTGCACTCGGACCCAGTGCCGTCTGCTATTGCATTATCCGCTAAGCTACTAAGTCCCGTTAGTCACTGGTTTGTGTAATGGGGCGAATTTTAATTCATTTGTACTAGCTGTTTGGATCCTGCGATTGATGATCAAGACTATAATTAAACAGTCTCCTTTGAAAAATGCGCATCACATGCAAGTTACCCATTACTGCAGTGCAATCACAAGCAATATAGTCAGAACTGGATAGCGGTTAGCCATGTAACGCAGAAGGTGCGTTTCATCCTAATTGGAACTGGTCTCCAAACACCACCTTTAGAAAAAACGGGGTTATTCGTCTATATCGGCTTTGAAACCAAGATAACTAGCGGTACTATCTAATATCGCCCGTACGTTCGTGTTGTCTACAAACAAGAAAGGCGAAATCAAATGTCTCCCGTTAGTCAAACATAAAAGTCTAACGCTTATAACATTACTGTCGCAAAGAAAGCAATTCCACATAAGCAAAGTAGAGGCACTGAAAAACTCATACAGATTTCGAGATAATCAATTGTGAACTGACTACACACCCCCTTACCCGCGGCGAAACTATAATATATGGACGAACGAATCAGGTACAAGATAACAGGTCTCGAGTTTTTGGGGAAATTCATCTATCCATTTGGCTAAATAGGGTTTGCTATTAAAGCTGATGCCAGTTAGTTATGAAAACATAGATCTAATTCCTAACTCTAAGCATGAAGTGTGAATCATAATTATGACTTCCCACACTGGTTTATAACCCTCATTTGGTCCTAGTTATCAGATGGACAATCTCAAGGTCACTCTATCGTCGCTCAAAAGTCAGCCATAAATAAAAGTTTCACTGCCCACTGTTACTCACTAAATATTTCAACCTCTCGATTTTCATAAATTTTATCCGTACAGAAAAATAGTTCCGAAAATAAATTCAAATAAAAAACTATATAAACGTTTGGGGAAATGACACGGGAACCCCAAAACCTCCCCAAACTTTGAAGAAGACCATTGGGCCATGGGGAAAACCCCAAATTTTCCCAAAGTAGGAAGATTAGGATTCTCTAAGTTAATGCTCTATATTGCCTAGGATTATGGTAATTCTATATTCCGTCCACAAATACATAAAGCCAGGTGATTTCCTACACCTTTAAACAGTTGTATCTTCTAAGATGCAAACGACGTATGGAACTGCTTCATTACAGCGATTACCTCCCAGTAACGCAACAGTCGTAAAGTTCAGTCAGACATATTCGATATCCAATATCGCCCTAAGAAACAAAAACGATACAATAGGTTTCATCTTTATCTATTTTTGCTCTATGAAAAGCTTTTCATATCTTCAATAGAGTTAAATGAAAATATTACAATTTTGAGCCAAAAATTAAACTCATTCGGTTTCCAGTATCAGTCTGGGAATTACAGGAAGCTTGATGGCCTGTATTAGTCCTAGCGATGATGGTCTCCCAGTTGATCCAACTTTCTTTTGAAAGAGTCGACGGATATGACCTAAACCACGTGCTGAGGTAATGTATTCAGCTCGATGATGACTCAATAGGAAAGTCGATAGTCAGCTGACAAGTAATTTGTTGTCGGTTTGTGAACAGTTTTGGAGTGTCCTCGTAAATTTTCTGTTTTGGAAGACAAGAAAAATGACAGCATATCAGGTGAAAATTTATAACTAAGCAATTTGAAAGCTGTAATCAATTCGCCTCTGGTTCATCGATATGACAGCGGAAATAGGTTTAGCTTGGTCATCCACGACCTCGCTTGGCGAGATTCGAACCCAAGACCTACCAGTTTCGCGCCAGAGCACTTGATCGATAAACCACTGAGCCGGAATGCGATGGTGTTAATCCTTTCTGATAATTATCAACATATGCTCACTAGTGACTGACTTCAAGAGATAATTCCTGGAGTTCTAGGGAGAAGCAATGACCAGTAGAGTTCAAATCACGTCTGTTGTGAGATACGAACTCACTGAAAACAATTAGTGAACGGTTGCTAAATTTCGTGGATCGGTTGAAGTTAGAGAATAACATCATCGGACGACGGCTCAGTGGTCTATCGGTTAAGTGCTCTGGCGCGAGACCGGTAGGTCCTGGGTTCGAATCTCGCGAGGCGAGGTCGCGGATGCACACTGCTGAGGAGTCCCACAGTAGAACGAAAAGGCCGTCCAGTGCCTGCAGGTTTTTCTCGGTGATCTAGCTTTAATGGACTCATGCTTCAACTATGCAAATACTAAATCAAATCGCCTCGGATTCTTCGATAAGCCAGCGGGAATAGGTTTAGCCTGGTCAGTCTAATATCATACGGGAGCTTCGCTATTCCGGGAATCAGCTTGGTTGTTATTCTCTGAACCCTTTCCAAGCAGGGGCCAGTCGCTTTTATGCAGTATTCAAGTTTAGAACGCACGAATACTGTATAAAAATTTAAAAACGTTTTAGCGTCGATATGGCCAAAAGCCCTACGCATCGACCTCAAAGTTATAAAACCTTGGGCGACTATTGCGTGGCACTGCGCAGTGATCTTTAGGTCTTTGCTAACCATGACTCCTAAGTCATTGTGTGTCTGGGCAACAGGCAGCTCAGTGTTATCGTGTATGTATCTGTTCCTTGATGACCGATATGCATCACAATACACGTAGAAGTATTTATCGGCAACTGTCAGGTTTGGTGTGTAAATATGTACGTTCCAATTTATCTTATATCTTCGTCATGAGCTTGTATTAACCGATTAATACCCTATTGTTCCAGTACGACTTCAAGTACTTGAGAATATCGATATGTGAAAGTCTAGTCACTCAGCTGCATCATTTCTAGCCAGGTACGAGGAACGCCTAGACAATGTGAGAGACGGGGAAGAACAGCCAAATTGCTACGAAAATGAAGAGATACAACTTGACAGTGCTCGGAATCAGTGAAACCCGTTTGACCCTAGCTGGACGGAAGAGGATAGATTGAGGAGAGGTGCTTCTGTACTCTGATCAGGAAGAAAATGCTCCATACACTCAAGGCATTACTCTAATGCTGTTCAAGGAAACACGAAATGCACTTCTGGGATGGGAATTTCACGGACCCATGGTCATCAAAATATGCTTCAAAAATAAGTATGGAATTACACTGAATAATATCCGATGTTATGTACACATTAATGATAGTAACGACGACAATAAAGGTCCATTCTATGAGAGGCTGCAATCAATTATAGTGAGGTGCCCAAGAAAGGATCTGAATAATCTGATGGGAGACATAAACATCAAACTTGGAATGGGCCGCAAGAGTCAACATTACAAGGAATGGATCCCTATCGAAATTATGGACAAGATGCAAGAAAAGAAGAACAAGAAAACAGAAATTAATAAAAGCCGAACAAGAACAAAGAAAGTCGAGGAACAAGTTGAATACACAGAAGCGAACAAGCAAGTGAGAAAGAGCATTAGAGCCGACAAACACAAATATGTGGAAGAGCTAGCAGCGACAGCGCAAAATGCTGCAACAGAAGGAAATATCAAACAACTATGTGACACTGTGTAGAAACTAGAAGGGAAATATAGTAAACCAGAGCGACTGGTCAAGGACAAACAAGGTAAGACAGTCACCGAGATCCAAAAACAGAAAAATGGATGGGCAGAACACTTCGAGGAGCTCTTGAATAGACCTGCGTCACTGAGTCTACCGGGTATTGTAGCGGCATCTACATACCTTCCTATAGATGACACTCCACCAACGATCGAAGAAATCAGGATGGCCTTCAGACAAATCAACAGAGTGAAAACAGCAGTACCTGACAATATATCACCTGAAGCTCTGAATTCGGACTGCAAGTATGCTTCACGTTCTATTCAAGAAAATTTGGGATGAAGAACAAGTGCCGACGGACTGGAAAGAAGGATACCTTATCAAGTTACTGAAGAAACGAGATCTGAGCAAATGTGAAAACTACAGAGGAATCACACTAATATCGGTACCAGAAGAAGCTTTCGACACTGTTGATGAACAAGATGAAAGACTCAGTAGAAACCCAGCTTCCAAATTAACAGGCTGGACTCCGTAAGGGTCAGTCGTGCACGGACCAAGTCACGACACTACGGATCATCGTTGATCAATCAATTGAATGAAACTCGTCATCATATATCAAATTCCTGGATTATGAGAAAACATTTGACAGAGTAGATAGGAGAACATGGGAACTGCTTCGACACTAAGGAGTACCTGAGAAAATCATCAACATCATCTGGAATTCATATGACGGACTGCAGTGCAAAGTGGTGCGTAGAGGACAGCTGACAGATGCATTCCAAGTGAAGACTGGAGTCCGACAAGGCTGCTTCCTCTCCCCTCTCTCTTCTGGTGGTTAACTGAATTATGAAGATCACCACGTATGACGTGAATCACGAAATAGATGAACAGTTGGAAATAAATTAAACGATTTGAACTTCGCAGATGACCTGACCATTTTATCCCATACACATCATCAAACGCAGGTCGAGAAAATTAGTGTAACAGCAGCCTGGGCATCGGTAGGCCTCAACATACACAAGGAAAAAAGCAAGATCTTCAAATTCAATACATAGAACACCAACCCAATCACACTTGATGGAGAAGCTGCGGAATACGTGGAAAGTTTTACGCACCTGGGCTGTTTCACTGATAAAGAAGGGGACCTGATATGGATGTGAAGGCAAGGATTGAAAAAGCAAGGATGTCATTCCTGTAGTTGAAATACGTATGAAACTCAAAGTAAATCTCAACCAACAACATATTCAGAATCTTCAGCATGAACATCAAGACAGTTCTACTGTGGCGGAGCTGAAACTTGGTGAACTACCACAACCATCATCAAAAAAGTACAAGTATTTATAAACAAATGTTTACGCGAGATACAGAATATCGGTTAGCCGGATACTGTGAGTAACATTCTCCTGTGGAAGAGAATAAACTAGCTTCCATCTAAAGAGGAAACTATGAAAAGTCGATGGAAGTGGATACGACACACATTGAGGAAATCATTAAGCTGCATCACGAAGCAAGCGCTAACTTGTAATCCTGAAGGTAAACGGAAAAGAGGAAGGCCAAACAACACCCTGCGCTGAATATTGGAAGCAAACATCAGAAGGATGAATAACAACTGGAGATGATTGCTCAGGTCGGAATTGAATGGAGAATGCTGGTGAGCGGTCTGTGCTCCTCTTCGAGCGGTAACAGGCACAAGACAATTTGTTTTGTTATTATTCGCATTTTCTACAGAGTGGGTTTTTAGTGGCAGGTACTGTTCATAGCTCACACATGCTATTTTAGCTTATGGATAGACTAGTGTATTCGTTTTTCTCGGGCCACATTTTGACCTTGTTGATTATACCCATATAACTCTGTTTTTATGTGGTCGTATATGTTTAAGTTGCTTACCGTATTCATTACATGTCTGTAAGTTATTTTTGTTTGGTTATAACTATGGAGTCATGCATAACCATCAGAAGTTGGGTTACTAGCCTTCTTGGCTGCGAGTCAATTCGCTCTGATTGTCTGTTCAGATCAATGAGTGTAAGAAATGTACGTATTTGCACTTAGTTCTCGCAGTTGACCCATGTAATTCCGATATTCCTAACGCTAATTAAGTCGATAAAAATATAAGAGTGTAGGCGGCATGAATATCCGATATGAGGGGTCAATCAGGAAGAGCCTAATAAAAAGGTCACTCGATGACAATAAAAAGTGACCTAATGAGCAAGTGCATTTCACTGACTACAAAATGAATCAGTTTCCTGAGAAATAGAGTGGTATATATGTGGATGAGTATTTTTACGTTTTATTCGGTATCCCAATACACTTTCTCGCTCACTTTTGTGTTCTCACTGCTGTAGTCAGTTCGGGAGTTAGCGCGTGGAACACTGTCTATCGGTTTCAGATTTGGGATGTCGCCAGTTACGACAGTTCCTGCAGATGGTGATTTTGTCGAACCCACGCAAACATAAACAAAATTCCAAAATGTCCGTTTGAGCAAACCAGATTACATCTATTTTTTAGCTGCAGCAAAAGGAATTTCAAGCATTACGACTGAAAATGATCAAAATAATGGCACAAAAGTTGCCAAACCAAGAAAATTAAGTACAGGTGTCCGAACAAAGGTACTCAACCACCGAGTCACTGATCAACCCAATGAGCGAGTTTTATTTCATTCCTGATGCTGGTGTAACATTTGAACCATGGTTCAAAAAGCATGAAAAAATTTTCGAAGTTAC